CAGCTCAACATCTCTGTCAAACATATGACCTGCGGACAGACTCACCTGCACAGACACACAGACACACACACAGGGAGAATTAGACAGAGCTGTGAATATCTGACAGACTGAGGTTGTGCAGACAATCACAACTGTCCCTCTGTATCACTGACACACAAACATCTTAAAAGGTCATTTTTAGAAGGACAGCTGACCAAAGGCCAATTAGTGGATCAACATGTTAACAAGTCAAAAGGTTTATGAGTGTATATTTTTTAAAAAGGTCCTTTGAATAAACATCAGCATGCTACAACATAAACAAAACCAACAAAGCCATTTGCACAAATGCAGTTTTCACACTATCACACATTTGTGTTTCAGAGTCCTGAATTTGTGGCATCTGTACATCATGAAAATACAAATTAATCATGTATCTACTTTTAAATATATGTACACATAAGCTACATCATCTCCTCTGCACATATGTACATTTTCTCTTTTTAAACACTCTTCTTACCTTTGCGTTTGTGTGGTCTGCATTGAGGAACATCAGAGGCTCAAGAGGACATTTGGACTCTACTTTAGTGATGGGGTTGGGAGAGCTCACATGGGCAGTGAGAGAGAGAGAGTAGGGAATACCTGCTGTTGATGATGTTATCTCTGACACTATACCACCACCTGTACCTGAGAGAAAAACAGAGGAACCTGAGATAAGAGCTCATTTAGTTCGTTCAGCATGATTCCTTCTATTAAGGAGTCATGGAGTGCAACATGATTCTGTTATATATTACAATGTATATCTGAGTACAGTGCTTAAAGTACTTATTCTGTGTAACTGTGAATAAAATATTTGTCTGAACCTGACCTGACCTGACCATTCACGTTGGATTAGGACATCTTTTCTTATTTTTCAATTTTGGTTTGGGTTCAAATTTCGTGTTTCTCATGTCCTTCCGCTTTTAGCAGACTTTGGCTGTGTTAACCTCCACTTTATTCTTTCTCCCTACTTTTATTACCTTAAACATTTTAATCTGGTACGCTGGAATGCTGGCAAGTCCATGAGGCCAATGAGCATGTGGGCAAGCAAATGGTTAAAAAAAGTAAAACAGCAGGTTTAGTTTACAGGGTTACAGATACAGGGTTCAGATTCTAAACTTGGTGCTGTGAGTAGAACTACATTCAGGTCCAGATCATAATTTCAGACCTGATTAAAGCTGTAATGTGTAACAGGCCAGGTGTTGTGCTGTTCAGGGTGGTGTGTTTGGTTCATGATGGAAAGGTGCAGCGTGTGTCTTTCAGTGAGCTGGAGCAGTTTGGTACCTGGTGGTGTGTAGCGGGGGTTCAGCACTGCAGGCAGGCAGAAGCGCAGGGCGTGGTCAGCCTGCACAGAGAGCTCAGTGACGTAGATGAAGGTGACAGCAGCACTCTGGCCTGGAGGCAGACTCCCCACACTCAGCTTAAACACATCCTCACTCTCGTCACTCTCCTCCAGCAGAAAGGCCTGATCTCCTGAAGCAATCGCATCATCATACTCCTCCCGCGCCTGAAGCACAGACAAAACACTTCAGTCTGGAGTTCTATAGCAAGGCCCATCAAAAATATTACATAATCACGTAATCATATTTATTGAAGCTGCCGAAAGTTATTTTACTTGTTAGCTTTCACAGTTTCATGTTTACATCACAGAAATGCTGAATGTGATTTGAGTGCATTTTCATCAGTTGGGTTAAGACAAATACATGTAAACAAAATAAATAAGAAAACACATTTTACTGAGACATGAATCTTACAAAAGCAACAAAAGCTCTTTTCTTCCAATTTGGTTCTATAAAACGGTCAGAGGGAAGCAGCGAGTAATGTTTCCGTATTTAACTGTGTGTGTTGTCAGACAGGAGCTTCATCCACAACTAGGAAGCAAAAAGCGAGGCCTCTTTGGGCTTGTACCTTAAACATTGCATAAAATGAACATTAACAAAATAAACACTTAATTGTAGTTATTTACACTGTACAAAAATATAATCATAGCATTTCTTAGTGAGAAGGTTTTAATGAAACCCTGCAAAAACAGGGTGGGCCACGAAACAGAATTCCTACTTAGTATCTGGTGTGACCTACACCTGTAGCAGCACAACACATTCTTAGTTAAAAATCCTGGATTTTTAATCAAACTGCTGCAAAATGGGCGCAAAACCAAAAGTGTTGCATTAATATTTTTGTTCAGCATGTATGGCAATAAATCTTCAGCTAAAATTTCATGATTACATGTTACTTGTTTCTACAAGTTGCTTTGTCTTTTTTCTCAGAGAGAGAAGAACATTATGGCACCAAATTCAAGTCTGAGAGTCCAAGTGTCTATGCTGATTTATTACTCCAAATATCTTCAGTAGTCATGGTAACTCCAAAGGTGTGGCAAAGTCGAAACTCATTTGTTTTCTGTTTACACGTCTATCACTATTACAAATGTCTATCACTCATCTCTGTGGTATGTGTATCTTGCACAATTCGCTTTCAAAAGTAACCAGTGAAACAGGGTGTAAGTCAAACACCAGCCCACGCTGACAGAAGCCATGCTAAGATTTAAGTTATGATCTTTGCTTCTCTTTTGCTGAGTCAGTTTTAAGACACTGGCTTTTGTATCGGTGCTCTGAAGCAGTCATGTTAAGTTGTATATGAACGGTGGTGACTCTTTCTCACCTTCTCTTTCTCCTGCACCTTCGCCACTATCTCCTTGTCAGCAATCTTGGCACTGAAGTGGCAGAGAGCAGCTTCTGCAGGCATGGGGAAGACAAACAGGGCCTCCAGGGGGCGCTCTTCTTCATTTACATACTGCAGAGTGGAGCTCACTGTAGCTACATGACCTTTAACCTGCAGATCCACCACTATGCTCTTCAGAGGAACTGAACAGGAAACAAAAAGAGGGGCTTGGTTAGCTGATTCAGACTACAGTGGTTGTCATTAGAACCTGAACCATAATAGAAAAATGCTGAGAAGGGGAGACTGGGGGTCTTAAGCACACTGCACATCAGTTTAATGTTTATTAAGTAAACATTTAATGTTAATTGTTGATCTTGCATGCATTAAACACACAGACAGATCGCAATATATTTTTAAAAAATCAAATGGATATCGCGACCTGTCTGTGTAGTTAAATGGTCACAATCTAATTAGATTCTTTCCTCCTAATGTTAACAAGTTGAAAGTCACGTGGAGATGAATTTGTCTGAATACTGAAATGAACTCTTATTATAAAGGCTTTTCCATTCTTACAGTGCCGTGAAAAAGTATTTGCCCCACCCCAATTTCTTCTGTTTCTGATCATTTGTCACATTTGAATGTTTCAGCTCTTTCAACTATAATACTTAATATAAGATAAAGCACAAAATGCAGCTTTTAAGTTATCATGCCATTTATTGATGATAAACATTTATTTCAAAACCTGTATTACCTACGTGAAAAAGTCATTGCCCCATAAACCTAATAACTGGTTGTGTCACCCTTGGCAGCAACAACTGCAATCATTTGTAATCAAACATTTGTAATAACTTGCTATGAGTCTTTTACAACACTGTGGAGGAATTTTGGCTCACGCTTCTTTACAGAATTATTTCAATTCGGCTACACTGGGAGAATTTTCAAGCAAGAACTGCCTGTTTAAGGTCTTGCCACAGCATCTCAATGGGACTGAAGTCAGGACTTTAACTCGGTCACTCCAAAACCATAATTTTGCTTCTTTTGAGCCATTGAGAGGCGGACTTGCTTGTGTGCTTCGGATCATTGCCCTGCTGCATAACCCAACTGTGCTTCTACTTTAGGTCACAGACTGACAGGTGGACACTCTCCTTCAGGATTTTCTGATAGAGAGCAGAATTCATGGTTTCGACAGTTATGACGTAGTCATCCAGGTCCTGCAGAAGCAAAGCAGCCCCAGACTATCACACTACCACCACCATGTTTGACTGTTGGTATGATATTCTTATGGTGGAATGAGGTGGTAGCTTTACGCCAGATGTAACGGGACCAATGTCTGCCAAAAAGTTCCACCTTTGACTCATCATTCCACAGAACATTGTCCCAAAGTCTTTGGGGCCACCTGGATGTTTTTTTGGCAAATGTGAGATGAGCCATGTGTTCTTTTTGGTCAGCAGTGGTTTGTGCCTTGCAACTCTATCAAGGATGCCATTCTTGTCCAGTGTCTTTCTTATTGTGGAATCGTGTATATTGATCTTGACTGAGGCAAGTGAGGCCTGCAGTTCTTTAGATGTTCGTCTGGGTTCTTTGTGACCTCCTGGATGAGTCGTCAATGCGTTCTTGTTGAAATCTTGAGAGGTCAGCCACGCCTAGGAAGGTTCACCACTATTCCAAGTACTGTCCATTTGTGTATAATGGCTATCATTGTGGTTCACTGCAGTCCCAGAGCCTTAGCAGTGGCTTTGTAACCCTTTCTAGACTGGTGAGTTTCAGTGACTTTGTTTCTCATCTATATTTGAATCTCTTTAGAATGTGGTTTTTGAGACCTTAGTCTGCTTCACTTTGCCTGACAGATTCTATTTAAGTGGTGTTTTTACGCAACATGTCTGACAGTAATCATGCCTGGGTGTAGTTAGTGCAGTTGCTCAATTGTACATATTTGTTCACTAAAACTAGATTTCAGGTGTCTCTCTACCATTTATTCGATTAAGGTTTTAAAGAAATGTAAAGAAAACAGTGTCAGCAGGAGAAAAGGGTGAGGAGAGCTTCTGTTCTTACCTGGTTCATTCTTGTCGGTCAATAATCCGCAGTTCATCATCTTGTTCAGCTGCAGAACCACAACGTGGGCGGGACCTGATTTTCTGCAACACCAACAACAAACACAGTTTATCAGAGCGAAGTTTTCTCACTCAGTGAACGAGAATCAGACTGTTTAGTGAACTAAGAACAGAAAACCAGCCCTTACTGTCAGTCAGTGACCTCGAAAACACATCAAACCCAGAACAAGTGAAGCGAAAGTGAAAGAGAACCTACCTTTAAATGTAGAGCTGACAGCTGCCGTGGAGCTGAAATAGAGCTGTGTCTGATTCAGCTTCGTATGTCTAATCGTTCCCAGCACAGTGACTGAGCAGCTCATTTACTGAGATGAGATCAAATGCGGAAGGTGAGTACAGCACAGTGAGAGTCTGCAGGGCTAGGTAACCCCGCCCACTCCGGGGTGCGCCCCTTTACTAATCCACACACTGTCCCAACTCGTATACTATACTGGCTACCTGCTTTTTAAGGGCTTTTCTCAGCATTTATCGTAAAGCTTGTATCTTACAGTTTTGCCACAGTCTTCACCTTTGACACAGCTTCCTGTTTTGGCATATTTACTGCAATAACAGCTGGTGCGAGGCTAAATTCCCACACGGCAGAAAACACAGTTATGTATATTTACATGTGAGACACATTTCATGCGAGAATACATCGTTTTAGTCCAGAAATATATTCCAAACACTAAAGTACGCTAAGAAAACACACTACGTTTTTAAATTTATTTTATATTTTTACATGTGCGAACTTTCCGTGTGGGTTATCACTGAAAAGCCCCCTTAATGCTTCCTTTCTATCATCAGGAGTTTCCTCCTGTGTGACTTTGTGTTCTGGTTAGTCTGCTTGTGTTCTTTATACGGTGTTTGGTCTATTTAAATAAGAGCTCCTGTCCAGAACAGCGCCTGTTCTAAAACACACCAGACTGGATTTCATCTGGAGCTGAAAGCCTGTTTCCCATAAACCCTCCTCTCCCTCCTATGTATCTCTGCCAGCGATTCACTTGAAAACAATCCCCGCCGCCCCCTCTCCTCTTCCACAGAGCACAGAGTTTAAACAGGCAGTAGAGTCCACTCTCAGTCCTGGGCTCTCTGGATGTGAAGCTACTCACAGCCATGTGAAGAGAGGGATTTTAAAGTAAGAGTTCCTCTGAGCACACTTAGGGGCAAAGATGCAGATCTGCGCCCTCTGCTGGACACGTTTACATCAATAAGAAGTTTATTTCTTGCTAGGGGAAGTTTTTGAGTCCCCTCCTCGGTTCTGTAAAACTCCTGGACACTCGCTCAGTGACTTGACCAGTAGCATGGTTACAATGCAGTCTAGACAGCTGTGCTCGCAATGCAGTCTGAGGTGGATAGCTGTGCTCACCATGCAGTCTGAGGTGGATAGCTGTGCTCACAATGCATTCTGAGGTAGATAGATGTGCTCACAGTGCAGTCTGAGGTAGATAGATGTGCTCACAGTGCGGTCTGAGGTAGATAGCTGTGCTCACAATGCAGTCTGAGGTAGATAGATGTGCTCACAGTGCAGTCTGAGGTAGATAGCTGTGCTCACATTGCAGTCTGAGGTAGATAGATGTGCTCACAGTGCAGTCTGAGGTAGCTGTGCTCACAATGCAGTCTGAGGTAGATAGCTGTGCTCACCATGCAGTCTGAGGTAGATAGCTGTGCTCACAATGCAGTCTGAGGTAGATAGATGTGCTCACAGTGCAGTCTGAGGTAGATAGCTGTGCTCACAGTGCAGTCTGAGGTAGATAGCTGTGCTCACAGTGCAGTCTGAGGTAGATAGCTGTGCTCACAGTGCAATCTGAGGTAGCTGTGCTCACAATGCAGTCTGAGGTGGATAGGTGTGCTCACAGTGCAGTCTGAGGTAGATAGCTGTGCTCACATTGCAGTCTGAGGTAGATAGCTGTGCTCACAGTGCAGTCTGAGGTAGACAGCTGTGCTCACAATGCAGTCTGAGGTAGATAGCTGTGCTCACAATGCAGTCTGAGGTGGATAGCTGTGCTCACAGTGCAGTCTGAGGTAGATAGCTGTGCTCACAGTGCAGTATGAGGTGGATAGCTGTGCTCACAGTGCAGTCTGAGGTGGATAGCTGTGCTCACAGTGCGGTCTGAGGTAGATAGCTGTGCTCACAGTGCGGTCTGAGGTGGATAGCTGTGCTCACAGTGCAGTCTGAGGTGGATAGCTGTGCTCACAATGCAGTCTGAGGTAGATAGCTGTGCTCACAGTGCAGTCTGAGGTAGATAGCTGTGCTCACAGTGCAGTCTGAGGTAGATAGATGTGCTCACAATGCAGTCTGAGGTAGATATATTTGCTCACAATTCAGTCTGAGGTAGATGTGCTCACAGTGCAGTCTGAGGTGGATAGATGTGCTCACAATGCAGTCTGAGGTAGATAGCTGTGCTCACAATGCAGTCTGAGGTAGATAGCTGTGCTCACAGTGCGGTCTGAGGTAGATAGCTGTGCTCACAATGCAGTCTGACGTAGATAGATGTGCTCACAGTGCAGTCTGAGGTAGATAGATGTGCTCACAATGCAGTCTGAGGTAGATAGCTGTGCTCACAGTGCGGTCTGAGGTAGATAGCTGTGCTCACAATGCAGTCTGAGGTAGATAGCTGTGCTCACAGTGCAGTCTGAGGTAGATAGCTGTGCTCACAATGCAGTCTGAGGTAGATAGCTGTGCTCACAGTGCAGTCTGAGGTAGATAGCTGTGCTCACAGTGCAGTCTGAGGTAGATAGATGTGCTCACAGTGCAGTCTGAGGTAGATATATTTGCTCACAATTCAGTCTGAGGTAGATGTGCTCACAGTGCAGTCTGAGGTAGATAGCTGTGCTCACAATGCAGTCTGAGGTAGATAGCTGTGCTCGCAATGCAGTCTGTGGTAGATAGCTGTGCTCGCAATGCAGTCTGAGGTAGATAGCTGTGCTCACAATGCAGTCTGAGGTAGATAGATGTGCTCACAGTGCAGTCTGAGGTAGATATATTTGGTCACAATTCAGTCTGAGGTAGATGTGCTCACAGTGCAGTCTGAGGTAGGTAGCTGTGCTCGCAATGCAGTCTGAGGTAGATAGCTGTGCTCGCAATGCAGTCTGTGGTAGATAGCTGTGCTCACAGTGCAGTCTGAGGTAGATAGATGTCTATTCAACAACAGAAACTAATCTTATCATTTATCAAGTTGCAATGCTGCCTAGTCCTTAATTTACACTGTTTTTTGCTGTTCATGTAATTCTTCTGTTAATATCGTTCATGAGAACTTCTCTCATTTAAAATAAATTACAAAGTTTTCAGCATTATTTGGCTCTCAGAGCATGCTTGATTCCACTGCTGCTCCCATAATCCCCCTGCTGTCTTATTAACTAAGGAAACAATTTGCCACATCCCTATAACAAAATCATACAAATTTGACTGTAAATTAGGTAGCTATGAGATTTTCAGTCTGAGGTGGATTCAGTCTGAGCATGTATGTAATTGCCACGGAATGTATAAACCATTACAAAACAGATGCTAAAAGAGTTCAGTGATGCTGAAATTAATAACTGATCATCACATTGATTTATCAGTCCACTTAGGCTGCAGCAGGACTTTGCAAAAAAGCCAGTTTTCAAGTACTTTTTCAGAGTAAATTTTTACAATCCATGCATTGATTTTAAAATTGTAAACTAAACAACAAACAAGCATTAGTGGTGTTTCTTTTAAAGATGGTATTGTAGCATTCAGTGCTATTAAAAGAGATACAGCTTTCACACAAGTTGCAGTGCTTTATTCTCCAGCCGTTGTTGGCCACAGCCACGCTGTACATAAGCAAAGCTTTTCTCTAACAGTTCACACTCTCTGCCTCTCGCTCGTCTCGCTTTCCTTCTGCTCACACACTTTCCCGGGCCCTCTACAATAAGAGTTCTTAGGAAAATAATACAGTGAACAAATGCTGGAGAAGCATCTTAAAACTACCATGTAAAAGCATTTTTTTCAGCTTGCAACACATATTCAGCTCTTCCAGCACTGATGGCTTCACCGACTAAAAACCATGCTGCCCTCGACCTGACAGCGTGCCGTGCCCCTGAAGATCTTCCAACCAGCTTTGATGCTGCGTGTTCAACTGTGCACTGGACATCTGGTGTCTTCATTATCACCACACCTCTGAAACTCAACCTGACATTCTCTATGCCCACCTGTCAGTTGTTGTTTCTCAAAAAGTCCAGGCCTAGAATGCACACGTTGCACCTCAGCTACCCAAACTAAGTGGCGCATCTTCTTGCTCCTGACTGTCAGCGTCAGCCCTCATTCCTGTTAGCTCACTAATATGTATATTATTTGTATAACCTGTTTGACCAAATAACCTGGTCAAACAGATACCATTCCATACCACATACCATTTCTATCTATATTTTATTTATTACCTTCCAAGATAAATGTATCATTTATTCAGTTGGATCTATCAGAAAAATGAGACCAGCAAGAACAGCAATAACAACCATATTTACTAACACAAACCCAAAAATGACCCTTGAAATTAACCAAAAACTTAAGTAGGGCAAGTAAAAGTACTCAAACATTAGCAGGACAAACATTAGTATCTCTTTCGTTTATGTAGATCAGTATTTAGTATTTAATTTAGGTATTTCCATTCTTTTGGATTATAACTCTGATTTTCGTGTTTTCAGTGCATTGTGGTTGCAGAGAGGTGGAGACGCCGCCCATCCTTGAACACATCATGTGTCCTCCTCATTTGATAATAGACAGCTTAATGGAATCAGAGGAGGAACATCGACTCTTTAAAAACTGACTCCAGTGTGAGAGAAAACGCTGGCCATACAGCCTCATGCAAACCATGAGCCTGAGAGAGAAGAAAGGATCTGAGAAAGAGGAAAAAGACTCTTTATAGAGTTACGTTTCCAGCTATGTCGCTTTAAAATGTGTAAATAAAACACATTTGGTCTCGCGTGCTGGTTGTGTCTCTGAGCTGTTCGTTTGGTCTCCCAGGCAGTGTGCGTCAGCACCTCTCCTGGCCATGCCACAGTATCTATAATCATTCTTACAGATATTTTATTACCAGGAGACACTATTTCTTTGTCAGATTAAATCAACTAATTCAAACTAATTCAACAAGTTGTCTTACTTTTTTAACTTGCTTGGTCTTTCAGAATGTTAATGAAATTATAGCCTGTTTAGGACGACATTTAGCTATGATTTATAAAAGTAAGTAAAACCTGTTTCATTGAAAAGACAAACACAAACTTCAGCAGCACAGAATTTTATTTGTGGAAGTGAAGGTTGCATATTTATTAAAATGACTTCTACAGTTTGCTCCAGTAGTTACACGTAACAGCTCCATATGATACATCTTTAAATCTAAGTTGTTCAAAGACAAGAAGGCACAGATCAGTCAGAGATGAAACAAACAGGCCCTTTAGCATAATGATTCAAACACGCAAGGGTAATAAAAACTTACAGAAATGCTAATGTAAAACTGGATAATTTTGCTAAAATCAAAGTAAACACCAGGGGTAGTGTGAACATTAGTAAATGAGGCGTAGGCTATAGAATTTCTGAAGTCTGCATTAGGCACAGCAGCTTTAGAGAAAGAATGTATGAAGACTTCAGAGTCCAAGATCCTCTTCTTTAACCTGGCAGCCCAGCAGATCATTACCCACACGAACACTCTCAGAAAGACTGACCACTGAAACACACACATACACAAATCATCATCATCATCATCATCATCATCATCATCATCATCACTGCAGTAAAACAGTCCTAATTAATGGACCTTAGAACAATGTTTGTTGTGTTAAGTGTAACTGTTTGGGGTTCTGATCAGTGATTTCTGGTGAGAATGGAAAGTTTACCTTTCTGGTTGCGGATCCATGTCACTGCTTTCATGGCCACAAACTGCCACTCAACTTGAGCGTCCATCTTAAATCCGTGTAACCAGATCAGAGCCAGAATTGTAGCCCAGACCCCCTCTCCACCTGAACACAACACCACACACAACATACAACATAATACATCACCCATACATACATATAAATGCCAAGTAAATGCCAGGTGGATAAAGGAGGCGCTGCAGCGGTACAACATTTTTTTTCTACCAATCCTGAGAGTTAGTGAACCAAAATATTGGAAAAACTGAAAGCTTAAACTGATTTTCCCAGGTCAATAACAATAACATTGTGTAGTTATTTTTTCACATAATTGTGCACCAGCTACATATTTCATTACAGGGTTTAATAAAAAAGCATTTCACTTTATCAGGGTTTTCCCACTGCACATTAAAAAACAAGAACTGACCTAAACATCAATCAACTGAACTTACGCTTCTAGTTCTAGTTCATTTCCACCTGCTGTACTATAATAACCACAAGTAATATTTTAATGGTCTTTTTACCTTACCCTGCTAGAAAAAACAGAATATGTTGTGTTTTGGATGCTGGTATGCTGGTCAACCAGTATGACCATATTGAGTAATCAGCTTAAACCAGCACCAGACCAGCACTAGGCCAGCACTAGGCCAGCATAAACCAGCATAAACCAGCATAAATATAAATAAACCAGGTTTTTCAGCAGGTTCTAATCTGGCTAAAGAGACTTGGAAATGTGGTGTCATTATGTATTGGCTCATGGGTGATCCACCATTGTGGCAGGGTTAGTCACCCAGACTGGTTCTAACATTCCTATCTGCTTTCCTTGATTTTTCCAGATCTGTAGCTTACAGCCTTAGTTCAGTTGCAGAGCTTGACTAGTATGTGGATCTACATGACTACCAGATGAAACATTACAGCTAAATCAAGGAAAGAAAAGGACAAGAAAGGAAGGTTCTTTCAACTATTCAGACTCAGCTGTAGTCAAATAGGAAGTATCCTGTCCAACGCAGAGTTAATTTTAGCAGTAACTGAGACAAAACAAAGATCATATGAATCATCTCTGGTTAAATATGCCAGCAGCTGAGTGAAATATGGCACTGACTGTGTTAAATCAACCAAGTTTCAAAGTGGAAGAAACAGGCTTCAATAACAGGCACTTAAACACACCAGCTAAAAAGTCTGAGAATGACAGAGGAGGTAACGTTAGAATAGCCATATTATTACTCCATTTTTGGGAGTCTGTATGGACATTGTTAATAAGGCTGATTTTATGTTTAAAATGGAGACTTTTATCATTTTCAGAATGTGCATCAGTCGTAAACACAAGCCAGCAAGTCATCTGGCTCAGTCTCACAAGACAGACTTCACCATGTTGCCCAGACTGCACCACTGTTATGCCCAGAGCTCACTACTAAACTGAAAAGTGGACACATACAGTTACATACAAGTACAACCTATTTGTTGTCTGTATTTGATGTAAATTTCTCTATCAAACTCCAGCAGTAGATCACAAGATCATCATACAGTCTGTATTACTGACAAACACCTTACATTCAATACATCACTAGAAATGAAACGGTTACCGGTTTCACGGTAAACCGCGGTAAAATTAATGACGGTTAGTAGTACCGTTTGAACTTTAAAGTATCGTTAAAACCGCAGTCGATTACCGCGAGAGATTCTGAGAGATTCATTCTCTCAGACGCAGCTCTGTGTGTGTGTGTGTAGAGGGGAAGGGGGAGGGGGAGAGAATGGAGAACATGGCGGAATGTGGTGACAGAGATTTGGCGATATTTCAGCCTTCTAAGAAGACCAAGTCTGATGTTTGGTCATGTTTTGGGTTTTATAAGGATGCAGAAGGAAAGTTAATTGAAGATGACCACCCTGTCTGCAGATGACCACCCCGTCTGCTGAACATGACGAAAGAAAATAGCGGCGAAAGGGGGCAACACATCAAACCTTACGAGTCATCTTCGCGACCACCACCCGCTACCTGCAAGAATGCAAGGTTAACTTTAACGGAGAAGTCTGTGCGGACTTCGAAATAGAAGAAATGTCACGGTTTGTGTGGTTTAACTTTTGCTTATGGTTCGTTAATAATATAAAATGAAGCTTTTAGCGTCAAAAACAAACAAACAAACAAAAAAAAACAAATCGGTGAATCAGCTGTGAATCGAAACTAAAGCTTGTAACACACATTTCTGTGGAGCAGAGTCTCCAAGATGAGCTCTGAGTTAACAGTCACACAAGCTCCGGAACGAGACGCTGCAGAAGTTCAATCTGCACAGCTCCCCTTTCTCGTCTCGCTTGCAGTGTTTACTGTCTGAGAGGAGAATAACACCGTCTCAAATCACTCAGTGTCCCCTACGTAGTGCGCTACTGTTCAAACACGATCATCATTAACAAGCAGCTGAGCTTTAAATAGGGAATTAGTAATCAATTGTTAATGTTGATTATAGATGACTTAGTCGAACGTTTCCTGCACTCTTTGGGTGAAGGATTTGCTATTTCATGATCCACGAAGTGCACTACATAGGGAAGATAGTGTGCTTTGAGACGGGTCCTCGCGCGAGTAAACGCTGTGTGCCTCTTTTAGGAAAAGCAGAGTTTCAGAGATTAAACTTTAGGAGTGTTTCTGCTGCAGCTCAGATGCGCATTAAAGTTATGTTTCAGTTTTAAAATGCTTTTAGAGGAGCAGCTCCACAGGTGGAGACACACTGTGTGAGTTCTACACTGTCTGCAGCTCACAGCACGGTCACGCAGTTCCTCTGTGATTTTGGCTGTTTTTCCTGGTGCACTGTGTTGATTAGGGGTTCAGCGCCACAACGGCACAATAATGCTGCAAATGCAGTTCGGACAGAAATCCCCCGAGTGCAACACTTCTTAGAAGTAGTAATTTTCCCATTAAGACCCACCTCAGAGTTGGTCCAGATTTAATTCTCTATGCAGGGAAATCCCTAGTTATTGTAATTATTATTAATAATAATAATAATAATAATAATAGTAATAATAATATCAGTAATAATAATAAAAATAATAGTAATAACAGTAATAATAATACATCTGCTATTCTTTTGTTTACAGAGTATTGCAAGTAATACAAAAGTAATACTACAAATGTATTGACTATATTTTTTTTATGTTTATGCAAACAAAAAGTGCATATTGCTGCCAATTAAATTTGTGTTAATATAAAAGTTGGTGAAACGAGTTTCAGTTTGTGTATCAGTATTTATTTATTTATTTTCCTTTTCAACTCATTTGAACAATATCGCAATATTATCGATAATCGTGATAATTTTGGTCATGATAATCGTGATATGAAATTTTAATATCGTTTCATCTCTATACATCACTCACCTGTGCGGGGGTCTGCTTGACCACCTCTTCCTCTGTCTTCCCAAACACCTCCGCCAGTGCACCGTCCATTTCCCAGCAGCCTGAAGCCTTCTGGAGGGAGATGAGCTGCAGCAGGGGGTCTTTAACAGCTTCCCCAGGGTCTTCAGAATCCTCTTCTACAGAGGCACATGTACACATATTTTACTGTATGTCTAAAAACTAACCACAAAAATAAGCACAACAAACCTGCATGGATTATTTTGAAAACATCACCAGAAATATAAACTGTCATTCTGTGCTTTGGTATCATGGTCATCTTTTGATCTAGAATACAAGTCTTATAAATATTTAACAAAAATAACCCAAACATTTAAAAAGTAACTTAAAAAGTAATCCCAAGTTGGGATGCTGTGCAATAGGTAAATAAAAACAATGCAATGATGTGCAAATCATTCAAACCCTTTATTTAATTGAAAACAGTACAAAGACATCAAATGTTAAATTGAGAAATATTGTTATTTTTTTTTAAATATCTGCCCATTTTGAATTTGATGCCAGCAACTCATTTCAGAAAAGTTGTGACAGGGGCATGTTTACCACTGTGTTTCATCACCTCTTCTTTTAACAACACTGTAAGCATTTGGAAACTGGGGAGACCAACTGCTGTCAGTTTTGAAAGTGAAATGTTTTGCCATGCTTGCTTGATATATGATTTCAGCTGCTCAACAGTTCTGGGTTTCTTTTGTCAAATTTTTCATTTCATTATGGACCAAATGTTTTCAAAGTGTGACAGGTCTGGACCGCAGGCCGGCCAGTTTAGCACCCGGACTCTTATACTATGGAGCCATGCTGTTTTAATATGTGCATGTGGTATGGTATTGTTTTGCTGAAATAAGGCCTTCCCTGAAAAAGACATCATCTGGATGGCAGCATATGTTGCTCTGAAACCTGTATACATTGCTCAGCATTAATGGTGCCTTCCCAGATGTGCAAGTCAACCATGCCATGTGCACTAATGCACCCCTATACCATTACAAATGCTGGCATTAAAACTCTGTGCCGATACTAAGCTGGATGGTCCCTTTCTTCTATAACCATGATTTCCAAAAATATCAAATGTTGATTCATCAGACCACAGGACACTTTTCCACTTTGCCTCAGTCCATCTTAAGTGAGCTCAGGCCCAGAGATGACGTCAGTGTTTCTGGATCCTGTTTGTATATGGTTTCTTCTTTGCATGGTAGAGTTTTAACTTACATTTGTGGATGCAGCAACAAACTGTGCTCACAGACAATAGTTTTCAGAAGTGTTCCTGAGCCCATGCAGTGATTTCCACTAGAATCATATCTGTTTTTAATGCAGCGCTGCCTGAGGGCTTGAAGATCACAGCTAGCCAATATTGGTTTTCAGCGTTACCCTTACATACAGAGATTTTTTCTGAATTCTCTAAATCTTTAAATATTATGTACAACAGATGATGAAATCCCCAAGTTTGTTGTTATTTTACGTCGAGAAACTATTCTTGAATTGTTGCACTATTTGCAGACACAGTCGGAACCCCTCCCCATCTTTACTTCTGAAAGACTCAGCCTCTCTGGGATGCTCTTTTTATACCCAATCATATTACTGACCTGTTGCCAATTAACCTAATTAGTTGTGAGATGTACCATCAGGTGTTAATTTTATAGCATTACACAGCTTTACCAGTTTTTTGGGGCCCTGTCCCAACTTTTCTAAAACATGTTGCTTGCATCAAAAAACAACATATTTCAGTTTCAACAATTGATTTGTTGTTTTTGTACTAATTTCAAACAATATAGGGTTTAAACAATTTTTACACCTTTGTATTCTATTTTTATTTACATTTTGCACAACATTCTAACTTATTTGGAAACAGGTTGTAATTTGGTTCAATTACTTTCAAACTGAATGAACAGATGGATCCGGTCCTAAAATCTGATAAGGCGCATTCAAAGACAAGCATTTGATATATGCACACCTGTGACAGTCTCATAACAGCAGAATTATGTATTAATGTGTCATGAAAAAACCTTCAGCTGCTAATGGAATATTCTTTGACTGTGATGCTGCCCACATGGACCAATGATTGTACTGATGAAGTAAGAACAAGGCTGGCTTTAGCCTTTTGGCGTCCCTAAAAAGGTTTTTTTTCTGACTACTTAAATCATGATTCTCAGGGCAGCTGGCAGCCAATAAAATGTGACAAACAAGCTAATAAACACAGCAAACACACGGGTTAAGTGAGTTAAGCCACCACAAGACAGGCCAAAAAGAAATGCATTTCCAAAATGAACAACAGCAAAACATAAAAATCCCATAAAATACTCTCCATGTTAAAAAGGCCATTGAGAACAGAGTGCTGGTGTACTAGGTTTGAGCTTGATCAGCTAATTTACTTCATGTATTTAATGAAGTAACTGCACAGCAAGCGTTGTAAAAGCCAACACGTTACGTGTATGTGTTCAGCAAAGACTAACTTTTTTAGCATATCAGCTAAAAATCCAGGGGTTTCGAAATCTGCAACAGATTTTTTGCAGGAGAATTATCATACACACAAATTGTTCTTCAGTCAAACTAGCTAATATTATCAACTAACCAGCAAATGAAATGACACACCATAGAGAAGACATTGACTTTGACATGCGTGTTCAGCTGATGGTGATGTTAACACAAGTATTTTATTTCAGTCCTGTCTTTGTAAATGGGTAGAAAACATTCAACTCTGGCGCGCTGGCTGACTGAAGTTTTGACTGAGTGAATGGCAGATAGAAACGGTAGCTAAGCAATGATTGGAGGACCAACAAAATTAGGGAGGATGTGAGAGCGGACAGGGGCAGTTAAACATGCAGGAATCATTAATGATGCCTTTATTAAAATTCAGTTCACTTGTGTTAAATTATTAGTCATGAAGGGGGAAAGGGGCACATGCTCCACCAACCACAAGACAAGATAATAGTACAGTAATAATCCAGAAGTTATTAAGGGGCCTCCTGGTGCCCGTGGGGCCCAAAGCAGCCACTTACGTCGCTTATTAGGCAGAGTCGGCACTGAGTAAGCCCCCAGTTTGTTTAAACTGCAGGACTGACAATTTATTTTGTGAACTAGAACCAGGTTGATCAGCTAGCTAACAGGCTAAACAGCTCCTTTATTCAATACCACAGGAGTTGAATTAACGTAATTACTATATTGTAAAATTGCAAAGTATAAAAGTAGAGAATGTTACTTCAAAGTCTTCAAACACTTTAAATGTCTGTTTTAGTTAGATCTGCCTTAAGTAGCATCAAATCAAGACTAAATCTCAAATGAAGGCCATTTCAGATTCAACAGAGCATTAGGAAATGGACGTACAACAGCATCAGCTTGGTGCTAAAACAGACTGGACATCACATAGAGGTGCAAATGGAACGTAGCATGTTTAAATTTGTCAGTTGGGTCCTTATTTCATCAGTACATATCAGTAAGTGTGCAATTGAAACTGACAACTTTCCTCCACTTAAAGTCAAAACAAAATAAGTTATATATACTTACCCATGTCAGCCATAATTATATTAGAACCACCTTATAGAAACATAAAAATAAAAAAAAGAAAATATATTTTTAAAAACTGTAATTACAAAGTAATGTATGAGTAATAAATATGTTTACAAACATTTATAAGTAAATAATACTAATCTTGCCATTCACTGGCATATGTTCATTTCGTCCATCACTGTATGGCTGCGCTGCTATCTTTGTAACCAAGAGAATTAATATTTATTCTGTGTGCTGTACAGTTTGATGTGAGAACAGCCATTAGAAAGCAGAAATGAAGTTTTACTGTATTCCTGTTTAAGCCAACCAACACGACGATATTTAATCACTTCAGTGTTTGAACAGTAATATCACTGATGTTAAGCTGTCTAAACTAATTATACTGACAAACACAATCGCCACATAGAACCCTGTGGTCACCCCACACAGTGCACTGTGTAATTTACCTAACGTGAGGAAGGTAGCGCCACCAGTTTTTATTCTATTTATAGATCATTTCACCTCAGCTCTCTTGGTCTCATACAGGGTTTTCATTAACCAGCGCCGCTCGCCCACCCTGCACTGAAGCAGCAGCATCACTAGCTACTTTTAGTAGAACACTGCGATAGACCATGTACTGAATACACATTTATGTTTGTAAACATTACATTTAGGTTTTTGGTAGATGCTCTAATTCACAGAAATTTCTTTTTAAACATGCATATGTAATAAAAAAAGTAATGTGTACACAATAAATGTTAGTAATTTAATACCTTAATAATTAAGTAATACCAATCTTGTAGGAGTATTAGTAGTAATCCATTTAACATCAAAGCAAAATAAGCAATATTTATTTACCCATCTGGATAATTTGAGGAGCAGCTTTGGGAAGATAAAAATAGAAAAAAGAAATTGTTTATATATAAAACAACAAAAGTATATATATATATATATATATATATATATATATATATATATATATATATATATATATATATATAAAAACACACAAATGTATCCATGAATATATAAGTATTTATGAACATGTGTAAGTAATTACTACCTATCTTGTATTACAAATTACTATTAATATCAAATTAGTGCTTAGAATTTTCTCCACTTAAAGTCATAGCAAAGTAAGTAATATTCATTTACCCATGTCGGCCAACATTGGTGGAGCACCACCTTTGGAAAGAAACAAAATAGAAAATGAAACTATTTTTCAAACATGCATACATAATAAGAAACAAATACATAAGTTATAAATCTAATATTAATCTTACTTGCTTATCTAAGAGTAATCATATGTTCATAAGTATAAGTAAGCAATAATGCTTCATATGCATAAAGATGGAAAGTTGGCATGTTCAGTGTATGTGAACATTTCTACTCCAAAAGTATTCAAACCTTAACTACAAATAATGAAATCCTTCAAATGGAGAATCTATTTTTAGGCCTGCACTCAGTGACAGTTATCCGAGTTACAGCAGTAACAGCCCCTGCTGACTGTAAAACCCCATTTCAGCTAAGAGAGGTGAGAATTAATGAGTTTAAAACAGCAGTGTCAGCATTTCATATAAACCACCACTCTGCCGTTCACAACATGCAGATTAATGACTGTCACTATGTGGTGGCATTAAATAATAAAAATTATTATGTATTCATCTTTAATGTAATCTACAAGCCTATTATCAAACTTCTGGGCAGAAAATATACACATAAAATAAAAGTCAAACCTGTGAAATCTGTATGCACTGAAGGTGCAACACATTATCAGCAGCTTGACATTGACCTAGAGACAGTGACTTATCTAAGGTTGAAGCTGTTTAAATTGCCTGTTGGTTCTTTCTTTCATCAGTACATATCAATAAGTGTGAAACAGTGGTTGTTAGTTGTTTTTATTTTTCGAAAAATAATAACTCATCATTTCTAAGAATCAAATATATATATATATATATGTATACACACACACACACACACACACACACACACATACATACATTTACCTGGTATGCCTATCATTGGACCAGCTTTGGGAAAATAAAAATAGAAAAAGAAGACATGTATTTTAAAAAAACTGTATAGGTAATAACAAAGTGTATACACATTTATAAGTAAGTAATACCAATAAGATTAGCACAAAATTTTACATCAAAGCAAAATAAGTTATACACATTTACCCATGGCCATCATTGGTACAGGACCACCTTTGGTAAGATAGAAATAATAAAGATAATATATTAAAAAATAGTAATACAGAACAAAGAAATAATAAGGAAAGTATAAAGAAAATATATTTTTAGTTTTTTAATGTGTGTGCATAATAAAAAAGCAATGTATATGTATGAAATTTAATACTAATACTAATCTTCCTTATGAAATCATATTTTCATAAGTATTAGATAATTAGATAATTAGGTAATGTATTAAATGCACAAAATTGGCAAGTTGCCATGTTCAATGTATGTGCACACGAATGCCGAACACTGCCAATGGCTGTGAGTGACAGCAGGAGGAGGACGTCAGCCGCCAGAGAACGGGGTACAACAACGACAGTCACGAGAGGCACGAAGGTGGGACACAAGTGCCAGACTACATCTCATGTTAGATCCTGGCAGCTAAGCTGAGGAGCAGGGGCGGTGACGGGAGGCGGAGCAACAAGCTCTTTCCTTCTTGGCTCTCAAAACCAAACTTTTTAGCTTGTCAGTTTTTCAGACTGCTGCTCGTCCCTCTCTTCTGTCTCTGCTCCCTCTCAGCAGCAGTCTGAAAAACTGACAAGCTAAAAAGTTTGGTTTTGGGAAAAGGACTGAAAAGTCTCATTTTGAAGCCACTGAAAAGTGGTCAGCCTTGGTTTTGAACTGTTTTGTGTTTGTTTGGCATGAAAAAGATTAAAATGGCTGCTGCAGATGTTTCTCCTGCCTCCAGCATCCTCCCTGAACCAAAGACAGCACAGGCCTTGCTACAGATACTTTATGAGAAGCTAGAGTTTTTTCCTTCATCTACCAAACCTGAAGTTTGAAACCTGGGTGTTATCTCAGAATCTGAGCTCTGTTTTATCCTGCATGTAAACACAGTCACTAAAGTAGCTTTCTGTCATTTGAAAAATATCACTAACTCTCAGAGCAATGCAGATAAACTTGTTCATGCATTTGTCACAAGCAGAGCTAATTACTGTGCGCAGTTACTTGGTGGTAAATTCCTAATACGTAAGTTACACTGCACGACATTTCATTTATTTGTTTCAAATTAGTTGTTACGACTGTTAATTATACCTATCGGATGGTTCAGCTGTCCGTTTACGTTGACGCTTTAAGCACACTGAGAATAATGCATCAGCAGCACAGTTTTACTTTTGCAGCCAAAAAAATTAAAAATAGTAGTTGTAAAAACACCCATGCGCTTATGTATAAAAAAATACAATGATATGTTTTAAATTTTTAACCTCATATTCTCAGAGTGAAAAAGCAGGCCAGAACTAAAAAGAAAACTCAAGCTAATGTGAACAAACATAAACACACAATAGTTGAAAGAATAAATTAAAAATAAAAACATACATACATACATACATACATCATCTAAACCGCTTATCCTACTGGGTCGCGGTGGGGTGCTGGAGCCTATCCCAGCTGTCATTGGGCGGAAGGCAGGATACACCCTGGACAGGTCGCCAGTCCATCGCAGGGCAGACAAACAGACATACACAGTCACACACTCACACCTAGGGGCAATTTAGCATGTCCAGTTGGCCTGACTGCATGTTTTTTGGACTGTGGGAGGAAACCAGAGAACCCGGAGGAAACCCACGCAGACACGGGGAGAACAGGCAAACTCCACACAGAAATGACCCTGGTCGCCCGGCCGGGAATCGAACCCAGGCCATTCTTGCTGTGAGGCGACAGCGCTACCCACTGCGCCACCGTGCCGCCCAAATAAAAACATTTAACTGAAAAATGATGTAAAAGTTGACTGTGTAGTTTATTACAATGCTGTATATTCAGGCATTTATGTGGGTAATGCCAAAATAATTGTGATATCGTACATTACAAATCATTTTTAATGCATTTAAATGTGATAATTTTGAATGAGTTAAAATGAAATAAAAGGCTCATCAACATTAAATGAAGACTGATCTGGGCTGGGTGTCCTGAAAAGTCTTGGCAAAAAGATGATTCTTAAATGGCAAAGCGAGCTTCAGACTGAACACTTTCTCTACTAGTTAAGATGACCTTAACTCTAAGATGTTGCTGGGAAACTCGGCTCTGATCAAACACACTTTTCTCATTAATCACAGACATATTTATCATCTACATAATAGCACAGCAGACAGCAAAGAGCTTGTTGCTAACAGTCAATGAGCTGCAGAAAGCACTGCTCAGCCGTTGGCCAATAACGAATGAAATATACAGAAACTTACTAGGGAAACGAGCACAACATGCCATTGCGACTGGTGGACCCATGCCAAACAACCCTAAACAGAAACACATGAAAACAGGACACTCAGTTCTCCATGTGTTTTCCATGATTAAGAAATTCTTAAAATCCACAGTTTTCAAGAGGATTCTGACATTCACCAATGTTTTCTTATTTGGGGTTTGTTCTTAGTTAAGAACAGAATCTGCACACACTAACAAGAACAAATTTGCAAACCATACTATGGTTTAAGAATATTCACAAATCTGATGCTGACTTTTTCTTAGGACCTTTCTCAAGAACAAATTTAAGAAAAAAACTTTATTGGTGTTAAGAAAAAAATATTGGTGAATGAGGCCCATTGAGAGAAGAAATGCATAAAGCAACACTAACCTGCTGTAGGCACTCTCCTCCTCAGCAGTGGTCCTGTCACAGCCTCTCCACTGCCCTTAAGAACGGCGATGAAGGCTGTGTGTGAGCTGCTCACTCCAGCCTGCACACTGAGCTCCACCACTCTGGCCTTTAAAGCCTCTTTCTCAGCTCCCTCATTCTGCTCCTCCCGTTCCAGAGAGCGGATCAGAGAGCGGGCAGCCAGTCTGTGGATGGACAGTCTGAACAAACAGACAGTGTACGAGCTGTGTGAGGGTGATGAAGCCAACTAAAGATAAACGTTAACAGGTTTAGCTGATCTGACTATGCAGTTTTATCAGGTACACCTACCATCTAAGCACATTCTATAGATTTACAGTTACTAACTGCAGTCCATCTGTTGCTACGCATAATTTATCAACCCCCTTTGACCCCATCCATCAATGGAGAGGGACCACCTTAAGATCACCAAGGTACTGGATGGTGTACCATTCCTAATGTGGCAGTGACACCAACATGCAAGCCACCAACTGAGAGGGGGCAGAGGACCCAAGTGCAGAGCCAAGAGAGAAAACCAAGTGGAAAAGGGGACGACAATAAACCACCCGTGGCTCAGGGTAAAGGAAAACAGACCTTGACAATAGGAGTGAAAAACAACCTCAACACTGAAACTTAAATTCACACTTAAACTCCTCTAAGCTGTGAGGCACAAGCCAATGTCACTACAGTGAAAGACCAACTGGATCCGGCTGAGCTACCAAGTCAAGTCATTCTATCTATGTACAAGTACACAGTGGAGTGAAATTAGGTTCCTCCAGGAACAACAAGGTGCAACAAGGAACAAAAAGTACAAAGGGCGAACGTGCAGACATAAGAGTGCAAACAAAAAATTAAGCTAGAAACAATACAATAAATACGATAAATTAAACAGACATTAGACACAGTAAACAGACAGGACAGTGCAGCGCCGACACAGCACTCATTTCTGAGCATGAGGTAGTGGAATAAAGTGCAGAGATATTTAACATGCTGTGATCTGTGAGTTTACGCAGTCAGATAACAAACATAACTACAGCAGTTCTGAGGTAGTAAAACATTGGCCATGTAAGAAAGCTGAAGGAGGAGACAAAGATCTTGCAGACACACTTGCATGTGGCAACGTGAACTCAAGACTGAGTGGCAGGCTGTGAGGGCTTCCCCTAAGTAGGCTGCTCACAGCTGCAGCAAACTGTCCTGATCGCTAGGATGGAACTCTCTACCTCCCTCTGGTGGACACTGCTGGCCTTTCAGAGGACCCAGCCCTAACCCGGGCTGTTACATCACTGTGCCCATCACAATCATATCACCACAACACACACTACCATGCTTTTATGTTGAAGTCAGTTAAACACATCCAAGTCAGTTTGACTGCTGTAGTTGTTCTTACTGTGATGTCATAACATCAGCAGAGGAGAAAGAAATGAAAAAGTAACTGTTCCTCAGAGAAAACAGTGGAGATCACAGAATGAACATGTAACTGAATGTTACCCTGTATTCTCAGCAGGCTTGAGGGAGTAGCTGAGTGTGTTGGTGACTTCTTGATCTGCTAGACGGTACTTCACTGTTACAGTCCCCTCAGAGTCTGAGCTCTGACTCTACAGACAGAAAGAAGTGTGGCTGTGTCATCAGTTCACTCACTAAATAAGGAGACTCATAACTGAAAGCAGCGCTGTGTCACCAATATTCATTTCTGAATGTTTCTAACCTATTTAAATAGTTGTAAAGCTCATGGACTACTAGATTCAAGGAAAAGGGTAAAATAGTGGAAGCTTGTTTCCCTGTAAATATCAGATTAATGCTCTCACCTCTCCTTTCAGCTGAGCGTAAATCAGTGCCCTTTGACCCTGGAAGAGTGCGTTAATGGGTGGGCTAAGGCGGGTGGCGGACATGCCCACTGGGACCGTCCACTCTTCACTAATATCAACCACAGCTGGCTGTAGAGCATAGCGGAGAGACTGCATTACCTAGAAAGAGAGAAGGAAAGAGAGTGAATAAGAGTAAATAAACAATGTAAAAGATGTTGAAGGAAAGTGATGAATGTGTTTGTGCAGAGCCGACAGCAGAGAGTAAGAATAGCACCTTTAAAGTGCTCATAAATATATTTTTCTGCTTAACTGACACCAAGATCTGAACCTTGTTTCATTTACTGTTATTGAAGTGAAAAGTGAGATAAATAAAATGAAAACAAGTGTTTACTCTAAATAATACATGACATTCATGAATAAGTATAGAGTTTGTTCAATGGAAATGCAAATATTAGAGTTTATACATTTACATCAAATTAAATCATAGCTAACTTACACTATTCATGTCAGTAAGGTGATAAAGTACTTTTTCATTTAATGGTTGTCGGGGCTGTATCTACTCAAGATTGGTGCATTTTGTAGGCATAAAAGCATCAGCAGCTGACTTGAACATGTGCACATATGTTTATTTTATTAGTGCTATTTTTTTTACAAATCACAATTGGTCAAAGCAGTTTTAGGCTATCCATGTTTTGAACAACAATCTTTAAAAAAAAATGTATAAAAATATGTAATAATGTTCATATTTTAGAAACCTCTCCCCAGGGTTTTGCACACCATTAAAAAAAAAAACATGGCCCAATATTGTAGTATGTATTACTATAATTTCTGCTAGTTTTAGCCAGATTTACTTTGGGCTGCATGCGATCAGTGCCTGTGATAAACTGGGCGTGGCCACATCCCTCCTGAGCCATTCCTGCGATGAGGGCGGTGCTCGCACCTTCACCAATCCCAAACGAGAAGCACCTGTTGAAACAACACCAGCTCAGTCATTTAATAAAGACAGTAAAATTACTGATTTCTACAAAGCTGTGCTACACGATTTGCACTATTTTCACTAGTACTGTTCACAGTTGTGAGTACTTGAACAGACATGAATGAACCTTTAGCCACACTGGAATTAGACCTCTGCATTTAACCCATCTGTGCAGTGAAACAGCCACATACATACACACTAGTGAAGACACACTAGGGGGCAGTGAGCACACTTGCCCGGAGCGGTGGGCAGCCCTATCCATGGCGCCTGGGGAGCAGTTGGGGGTTAGGTGCCTTGCTCAAGGGTACTTCAGTCATGTACTGTCAGTTGAGGAGATCGAACCAGCAACCTTCCGGTCACAAGGCTGGTATCCTAACCTCCAGCCCAAGTGTATTATAATACACTTACACAGTGTATTATAAATCTCTCATGAATCGTCCCCTATACACCAAAAAAATCACTTGTATTGCCTGGAGGTACAAAGGTCTCCTTGTATTGATCAAAATAACCCCTCAAATTTGTTATACATTTTCAATTTGTTATACATTTTATAAGGAAGGCTGGCTCTGTTGTAGGAGTCAAGCTGGGCTCTTTGGAGGTTGTGGCAGAACAAAGGATGCTCAACAAGCTGTTAGCCATCTTGGACAAAACCTCACACCCCCTGCATACTACACTGGATGAACAGACAAGCACATTCAGTGGCAGACTGTTACAGCTGTGCTGTGTCAAAGAGCGCCATGTAAGATCTTTCTTACCCACTGCTATAACGCTCTACAACAGGTCTCCTTACTGCAGAGAGGCTACTGATCTCCTATGCTGAACCACATCACAGTACCTCCTCTCCTGTTAATACACACTGCAATATTTCATTACTGCTACTGTAATGACACTCTCACTGCGCACTTTACACTGTAATATTGCTGCAACTCCTAGTTATGTCTATACTCACTGTGCTTTTAGACTACCTCATACCACTTAGTGCCTGCTCTCAGGTAAATACAACAAATCTGTCTTACATGCTATGTAAATATGCAAATATTCATAGTTTTATTTCTACTTGTTATACTTTAACTTATGCCTTTTTTATTTCTGCCTAACTTATGTCTATCATGTCTATTTTTATTAGTACTTGTCATTTTCTGCATAGTATACGTAAGTTTATGTGCAATTATGTGTTGCTACTGAAACACTGCACTTTCCCTTCGGGATCAATAAAGGTCTGTCTGTCTGTCTGTGTAATGAACGCTACATGCCTGTGAGATTCAGCGTTGTTTCTCACAAGGGAAAGAACTTCGTTGGTGTTCCACACCTCTCCATCAGTGAACATGAACACCTGCAGGGAGAAAAGAAAGACATCAGAGAACTTCAAGCCAGAACATCCAGGACAAAATCATTAGTAAGGAGGCACTATAATATTTTCAAGCATGCTCTCCTTTAATCCTGGAACAAAAGTACAGCTGTGAGAAAATATCTGTATTTGCTCAATAAAGACACGGAAATGCTGAGTGTGTTGTTTGTTACATATGACCATATTTTTACTGTGATTTGTATGAATATCAGATTGGATACCAAAATCTGGGCCATCTGGGGGTTTAAGAACCAAAAATGAAGGTTAAAATGCAGCCTCCCCGCGGCAGGGTTAGTTTTAACAGTGTTACAACTAAGCTTCCCAAAGTAAACAATGAGAGAATTCCATACTTTTAGGACCAAGAAGAAGAAAAAAAGGTGTTTTAAACAACTATAGATGAGGTGCAGCCAAAACCAGCGACACTCACTCTATACCAACAGAAACTCTGACCTTATTTAGTTAAAAACTTGACATTTTGGCTGACATTCAAGGCCTGCATCAGACATCCCACAGAAGTCCATAGCAGTCCACCTCCCCAAACCAACTCAAAACAGTTAATATTTTGAAACAATTAATATTTTGAAATGTTCCAAGTAAATGTCACAAACAGCCTTTGTATGTTACAATTAGTCTGTACAAACAATCCCTAACTATGGGGTATATTGCATCATTTGCACTCATGTTCACAAATGGCAGAGTCAAAATAAATTGTCACTAGCAGAGATGGGTTGTTTGGATTAAAATCATAAACTCTTACTTACCCCTACATAACACAGATTAATATCTGAATGAGATTACAGTGAACAGGTAAGTGATGTTACCTGTCTGGGCTGGTTAGGGATGCACTGCTGACTGTAGATGTGTTTCAGAGGCTGCAGAATCTCAGTGCCACCCATGTCTGCTTGCATCTCCTTTACTCTCTTCACAGCCTGGTCCATTGTCTCCTGAGTGTATTCAACACTCTTCCTGAAGACAGCAAACACACACACACACACACACACACACACACACACACACACACACACAACATCAGAGTCCTGAACGTTAAATCTGTTCTGAATCACCTCCTGTCTGAAAGTGTCTCATTCATGAACTCCGACTATGATATAAATTTACTCACGGAAAGTAGGACTCATAGTGTGAACCAAAGCCGTAGATATTGAAGAAGCAGCCCAGAGGGAGACTCTTCAACAGGAGGAGCAGAGTGTCCTAAAGAAAAGTATAACATCAAACAAATACTATTAATAAGAGTTCAGATCAACCTGAATATATATGAAAATGTAGTTTTGATGAAGTGGTCACTCAAAAGCAGAAAGATATCATATATTCATATAACATTTATATAACATATTTATATATAAATATGTATTTGTTTAACCATTTCCAAAGCTTTCCTCCAAAAAGCTCAGTTTCACCTGTAGTTAGAATCAGGTGTGCTTTTGATGGATGAAAACAATGTTTTGTACAAAGCTGTGTATATAAAAGTAAGAGTTTGTACAGTGCTGTATATACACACACACACACACACACACACACACACACACATATATATATATATACACACACATATACATATACATATATATATTCTGATTGGAAAGACTGGCACATTACAAATCTCTGACACAATGTCATTCTCCATTTACAAACTTAATTTCAAAAAGTTGAGACGTCAAGTAAAATAGAAAGCAGTGATTTGTAAATCCACTATGACCTGTATTTAAATGAAAACAGTACAAATACAAGATAATTAATGTTTTATATTATCAGCTTCATTGTTTTTATGAATATACACTCATTCTGAAATTGATTCCTGCAACACATTCCAAAAAAGTTGAGACAGGACCAATTAAGACTAGGAACGTTAAAAAGAACAATATTCCTCAACCAACATTTGCCAGGATTTTAGCTATTTCTCTCTCTGCCATGCCTAATATCATAAAAAGATGCAGGGAATCTGGAGAAATCTCAGTGGGAAAAGGGCAAGGCCACATGGGCTTAGAAACACTTCGACAAACCAAACCAAAGTCAGAAAACACTCATCGCTGCATACAGAAATGTAAGTTAAGACTGTACTCTGCACAGTGGATGCCACAAGCCAATGGCATCCAGAAACGTTGCCATCTTTTCTGGGCTGGAGCTTATCTGAAATGGACTGATACTCAGGGGAAACATGTATCGTGCTATGATGAGTCAACCTTTCTAATTGTTTATGGAAATAATGGATGCCATGCTCTCTGGGATAAAGAAATAAAGGACCATCCAGATTGTTACCAACGGTATAGGAGGATGGGTATTAGTGGGTAACTTGGACATTTGTGAAAGCACCACTAATGCTGAATAATACACACACATTTTGGAGCAACAGATGCTGCCTTTTAGACACTGTTTTTCAAAGGGAGGGACGTCCCTGTTTATTTCATCATGACAATGTCAAGAAAAACTTTGCATGTGTTACAACAGCATGGCTGCGTAATGAGAGATTACGGGTGCTGGACTGGTCTGCCTGTTTCCTAAAAACACGTGGCGCCTTATGAAGTGCAAAGTATGGCAACAAAGGCCCCATGCAGCTGCGCAGCTGAAGAGTTGCATAACTGAAAAATGGCAAAAAAAATTCACTTGGATCAACTGACATCCTCAGCCCCCAAAAGATTATTCATTGTGGTTAAAAGGAAAGGTGATGTAACACAGTGGTAAACATGCTTTTTGGAATGTGCTGATATAAAAAAAAAAGCAAAGTTAAAATTTAAAACATCAGAAATTTCTGTTTTCTGTACTGTTTAATCAGGTCAAACAGAATTTACTAATCACTGCTTTCTGTTTTTCTTGGCATTTCACACACTGTCCCAACATTTTTGGAATGTATTGAAAAATAAAATACCATGGCATTTTGATGCCTAACATGATGCTGTTCTGCATGTGGGGATGAGGACCCCCTGCCCACCAGCACACTGAGCAATTTAGCGTAAATGAAAGTTCTGTTAACTTTATATCCCTCATACAGTTTAGTTTCCTACTTTAGATACATTTAACTTTAAATCCATAGCGGTAATGTTTCCAATTTCCAATTTTTATCATCAACGTCTGTTACAAACAACAAGCGTATTTATCATAAATGTCATATATACAGTGAAAGGTTTTAACTCCACAGTTGTAGCCTCTCGCTCTTGTTCAGGCAGTCACCAATTCTTGTTACAATATAAGCTCTCAAGGGGAGCTAGGCAGTTTGCTTTTGAGAGTTTGCTCATTGATCTATAGGTCTCCTGTGAGCACTGTCCAGCATAATATTACAAAGCCCACATAGCTATAACAAAATGTACTGCTTTAAAAAGAAAAATCTATTTTAAGGGAAAAAGCAGCACATGATGCCACATTCTAAAGAGATTCAAACACAGATGTGAAAAAAAGTCACTGAAATCTACCGGTCTAGAAAGTGTTAATGAACCACAGTGTCCAATGAACCACAGTGAGAGCCATTATACACAAATGGAGAAAACGTGGAACAGTGGCGAACCTTCCCATAAGTGGCCAGCCTACCAAAATTTCACCAAGAGTGCATTCGACAACTCAGAAGGGCACAAAAGAACTGCAGGCCTGACTTGCCTCAGTTAAGATCAATGTACATGATTCCACTATAAGAAAGACATGGCATCCATGGGAGAGTTGCAAGGCACAAACCACTGCTGACCAAAAAGAACACAAAGACTGGTCTCATGTTTGCCAGAACAACATCTAGGTGACCCCTAAGACTTTTGGGATAATATTCTGAGGACTGATGAGTCAAAAGGTAGAACTATTTGGAACACATGGGTCCTTTTACAACAGGTGCAAAAATCTGGCATAAAGCTAACACCTCATTCCACCATAAGAACATCCTACCGACAGTCAAACATGGTGGTGTTAGTATGATAGTCTGGGGCTGCTTTGCTTCTGCAGGACCTGGACGCCTCGTCATAACTGTCGAAACCATGAATTCTGCTCTCTATCAGAAAATCCTGAAGGAGAGTGTCCACCTGTCAGTTCATGACCGAAAGCACAAGCGCAGTTGGGTTATGCAGCAGGGCAATGATCCGAAGCACACATGCAAGTCCACATCTGAATGGCTCAAAAGAAAAAAATTAAGGTTTTGGAGTGGCCGAGTCAAAGTCCTGACTTCAGTCCCACTGAGATGCTGTGGCAGAAGCTTAAATGGGCAGGTCATATTTGAAAACCCTCCAATGTAGCCAAATGAAAATTCTGCAAAGCAGAGTGGCTGAAAGTGCTGTAAAAGACTATCGCAAACGTCTGACTGCAGCTGTTACTGCCAAGGGTGGAACAACCAGTTGTTAGATTTAGGGGGGCAGACGCTGCATTTTGTGTTTACCCATGTTGTCTTTATCTCATTTTAAAATTGGTTGGATGATCTAAAACACTTAAATGTGACAAATTAGCGTAAACAGAAGAAACAGGGTGAGGGGCAAATACTTTTCACAGCACTGTACATTTGTACAAAGCTCCGATTTGAGTCTTACCCTGGCACTCTCAATGCGCATCTGTGCACCTGATCCATTATGCATCGGACAGCCCATACTGCCAGATCTGTCCATTATGAACACAAATTCACCACAAGATGTTACAGATGACATCAGCGCTGAAGGGAACTCTGGGTACAAACTTAGCATGACCACAGGGTCTCTCATCAGAGTTCCTAAAGGAAGGAGAAATGAAAGAATGTGTATTGGAAAGAAAGTAAAAGGACAGACCGGAAAAAAGAAAAAGTGTGATTTATAACACTTCAGGACAAAATATTGCTGTGTGATAACCAACAAATGATGCACCTGCTGATAAGAATACACTACTTTCCTAGGTTAATTTTGAAATAGATACAGAAGTGTTGTGGCATAGTTAAACTATGTGGTTTTTCTTCAATAACACTGATGGAATATATTTCCTGGAGAATGCATACGATTTAAAAACTGTTTGGTCTTATTTTGTATTATAGGAGTTGTTGTACATGATTTTTTGATAACAAGAATCTGAAGTCACCCTCATCCCTCCCTTTTCATCCCTAATTGCTCACTAGCAGCTCAACACAGTCACAACATTTCACACTAGAGGCAACAGTTGTTCTGATAACCGATTAAGGGGAAAATTTTTTATTTGATTACATTACATAAAAATATCCAAGCTGATTTTTATTCTGTGGAATTGCCACCATGCAACCTTAAGAAAAAGGCTACATCATTTTTATTTTTGAATAGTTTTCTGTAAAACATACTTACTAGTCATTTAAGCCAAAACATATCTGCTTGTTTCACAACTTAATAATAGACTGAAACTATGTTTACCTGGCTGTGCTGTGGGCTCTCCTGCCTCCACTATAGCAGTGGGCTGGTGGGCGTTCTGATAATATAGGAACAGCTCGACATCTCTGTCAAACATATGACCTGCGGACAGACTCACCTGCACAGGCACACAGGGAGAATTAGACAGAGCTGTGAATATCTGACAGACTGAGGTTGTGCAGACAATCACAACTGTCCCTCTGTATCACTGACACACAAACATCTTAAAAGGTCATTTTTAGAAGGACAGCTGACCAAAGGCCAATTAGTGGATCAACATGTTAACAAGTCAAAAGGTTTATGAGTGTATATTTTTTAATAAAGGTCCTTTGAATAAACATCAGCATGCTACAACATAAACAAAACCAACAAAGCCATTTGCACAAATGCAGTTTTCACACTATCACACATTTGTGTTTCAGAGTCCTGAATTTGTGGCATCTGTACATCATGAAAATACAAATTAATCATGTATCTACTTTTAAATATATGTACACATAAGCTACATCATCACCTCTGCACATATGTACTTTTTCTCTTTTTAAAAACACTCATACCTTTGCGTTTGTGTGGTCTGCATTGAGGAACATCAGAGGCTCAAGAGGACATTTGGACTCTACTTTAGTGATGGGGTTGGGAGAGCTCACATGGGCAGTGAGAGAGAGAGAGTAGGGAACACCTGCTGGTGATGATGTTATCTCTGACACTATACCACCACCTGTACCTGAGAGAAAAACAGAGGAACCTGAGATAAGAGCTCATTTAGTTCGTTCAGCATGATTCCTTCTATTAAGGAGTCATGGAGTGCAACATGATTCTGTTATATATTACAATGTATATCTGAGTACAGTGCTTAAAGTACTTATTCTGTGTAACTGTGAATAAAATATTTGTCTGAACCTGACCTGACCTGACCATTCACGTTGGATTAGGACATCTTTTCTTATTTTTCAATTTTGGTTTGGGTTCAAATTTCGTGTTTCTCATGTCCTTCCGCTTTTAGCAGACTTTGGCTGTGTTAACCTCCACTTTATTCTTTCTCCCTACTTTTATTACCTTAAACATTTTTAATCTGGTACGCTGGAATGCTGGCAAGTCCATGAGGCCAATGAGCATGTGGGCAAGCAAATGGTTAAAAAAAGTAAAACAGCAGGTTTAGTTTACAGGGTTACAGATACAGGGTTCAGATTCTAAACTTGGTGCTGTGAGTTGAACTACATTCAGGTCCAGATCATAATTTCAGACCTGATTAAAGCTGTAATGTGTAACAGGCCAGGTGTTGTGCTGTTCAGGGTGGTGTGTTTGGTTCATGATGGAAAGGTGCAGCGTGTGTCTTTCAGTGAGCTGGAGCAGTTTGGTACCTGGTGGTGTGTAGCGGGGGTTGAGCACTGCAGGCAGGCAGAAGCGCAGGGCGTGGTCAGCCTGCACAGAGAGCTCAGTGACGTAGATGAAGGTGACAGCAGCACTCTGGGCTGGAGGCAGACTCCCCACACTCAGCTTGAACACATCCTCACTCTCGTCACTCTCCTCCAGCAGAAAGGCCTGATCTCCTGAGGCAATCGCATCATCATACTCCTCCCGCGCCTGAAGTACAGACAAAACACGCAAGGCCCATCAAAAATATTACATAATCGCGTAATCATGTTTATTGAAGCTGACGAAAGTTATTTTACTTGTTAGCTTTCACAGTTTCATGTTTACATCACAGAAATGCTGAATGTGATTTGAGTGCATTTTCATCAGTTGGGTTAAGACAAATACATGTAAACAAAATAAATAAGAAAACACATTTTACTGAGACATGAATCTTACATTTTCAACAAAAGCTCTTTTCTTCCAATTTGGTTCTATAAAACGGTCAGAGGGAAGCAGCGAGTAATGTTTCCGTATTTAACTGTGTGTGTTGTCAGACAGGAGCTTCATCAACAACTAGGAAGCAAAAAGCGAGGCCTCTTTGGGCTTGTACCTTAAACATTGCATAAAATGAACATTAACAAAATAAACACTTAATTGTAGTTATTTACACTGTACAAAAATATAATCATAGCATTTCTTAGTGAGAAGGTTTTAATGAAACCCTGCAAAAACAGGGTGGGCCACGAAACAGAATTCCTACTTAGTATCTGGTGTGACCTACACCTGTAGCAGCACAACACATTCTTAGTTAAAAATCCTGGATTTTTAATCAAACTGCTGCAAAATGGGAGCAAAACCAAAAGTGTTGCATTAATATTTTTGTTCAGCATGTATGGCAATAAATCTTCAGCTAAAATTTCATGATTACATGTTACTTGTTTCTACAAGTTGCTTTGTCTTTTTTCTCAGAGAGAGAAGAACATTATGGCACCAAATTCAAGTCTGAGAGTCCAAGTGTCTATGCTGATTTATTACTCCAAATATCTTCAGTACTCATGGTAACTCCAAAGGTGTGGCAAAGTTGAAACTAATTTGTTTTCTATTCACACGTCTATCACTATTACAAATGTCTATTACTCATCTCTGTGGTATGCGTATCTTGCACAATTCGCTTTCAAAAGTAACCAGTGAAACAGGGTGTAAGTCAAACACCAGCCCACGCTGACAGAAGCCATGCTAAGATTTAAGTTATGATCTTTGCTTCTCTTTTGCTGAGTCAGTTTTAAGACACTGGCTTTTGTATCGGTGCTCTGAAGCAGTCATGTTAAGTTGTATATGAACGGTGGTGACTCTTTCTCACCTTCTGTTTCTCCTGCACCTTCGCCACTATCTCCTTGTCAGCAATCTTGGCACTGAAGTGGCAGAGAGCAGCTTCTGCAGGCATGGGGAAGACAAACAGGGCCTCCAGGGGGCGCTCTTCTTCATTTACATACTGCAGAGTGGAGCTCACTGTAGCTACATGACCTTTAACCTGCAGATCCACCACTATGCTCTTCAGAGGAACTGAACAGGAAACAAAAAGAGGGGCTTGGTTAGCTGATTCAGACTACAGTGGTTGTCATTAGAACCTGAACCATAATAGAAAAATGCTGAGAAGGGGAGACTGGGGGTCTTAAGCACACTGCACATCAGTTTAATGTTTATTAAGTAAACATTTAATGTTAATTGTTGATCTTGCATGCATTAAATACACAGACAGATCGCAATATATTTTTAAAAAATCAAATGGATATCGCGATCTGTCTGTGTAGTTAAATGGTCACAATCTAATTAGATTCTTTCCTCTTAATGTTAACAAGTTGAAAGTCACGTGGAGATGAATTTGTCTGAATACTGAAATTAACTCTTATTATAAAGGCTTTTTTGCTGTCATCGGCCGAATGTAAAGGCGATCACCTCAGATTCAATTTTTTCAAATAAAAAATACGAGCTTTCCCATTCTTACAGTGCTGTGAAAAAGTATTTGCCCCACCCCAATTTCTTCTGTTTCTGATCATTTGTCACATTTGAATGTTTCAGCTCTTTCAACTATAATACTTAATATAAAATAAAGCACAAAATGCAGCTTTTAAATTATCATGCCATTTCTTGATGATAAACATTTATTTCAAAACCTATATTGCCCATGTGAAAAAGTAATTGCCCCATAAACCTAATAACTGGTTGTGTCACCCTTGGCAGCAACAACTGCAATCAAACATTTGTAATAACTTGCTATGAGTCTTTTACAACACTGTGGAGGAATTTTGGCTCACGCTTCTTTACAGAATTATTTCAATTCGGCTACACTGGGGAATTTTCAAGCAAGAACTGCCTGTTTAAGGTCTTGCCACAGCATCTCAATGGGACTGAAGTCAGGACTTTAACTCGGTCACTCCAAAACCATAATTTTGCTTCTTTTGAGCCATTGAGAGGCGGACTTGCTTGTGTGCTTCGGATCATTGCCCTGCTGCATAACCCAACTGTGCTTCTACTTTAGGTCACAGACTGACAGGTGGACACTCTCCTTCAGGATTTTCTGATAGAGAGCAGAATTCATGGTTTCGACAGTTATGACGAGGCGTCCAGGTCCTGCAGAAGCAAAGCAGCCCCAGACTATCACACTATGTTTGACTGTTGGTATGATATTCTTATGGTGGAATGAGGTGGTAGCTTTACGCCAGATGTAACGGGACCAATGTCTGCCAAAAAGTTCCACCTTTGACTCATCATTCCACAGAACATTGTCCCAAAGTCTTTGGGGCCACCTGGATGTTTTTTTGGCAAATGTGAGATGAGCCATGTGTTCTTTTTGGTCAGCAGTGGTTTGTGCCTTGCAACTCTATCAAGGATGCCATTCTTGTCCAGTGTCTTTCTTATTGTGGAATCGTGTATATTGATCTTGACTGAGGCAAGTGAGGCCTGCAGTTCTTTAGATGTTCGTCTGGGTTCTTTGTGACCTCCTGGATGAGTCGTCAATGCGTTCTTGTTGAAATCTTGAGAGGTCGGCCACGCCTAGGAAGGTTCACCACTATTCCAAGTACTGTCCATTTGTGTATAATGGCTATCATTGTGGTTCACTGCAGTCCCAGAGCCTTAGCAGTGGCTTTGTAACCCTTTCTAGACTGGTGAGTTTCAGTGACTTTGTTTCTCATCTATATTTGAATCTCTTTAGAATGTGGTTTTTGAGACCTTAGTCTGCTTCACTTTGCCTGACAGATTCTATTTAAGTGGTGTTTTTACGCAACATGTCTGACAGTAATCATGCCTGGGTGTAGTTAGTGCAGTTGCTCAATTGTACATATTTGTTCACTAAAACTAGATTTCAGGTGTCTCTCTACCATTTATTCGATTAAGGTTTTAAAGAAATGTAAAGAAAACAGTGTCAGCAGGAGAAAAGGGTGAGGAGAGCTTCTGTTCTTACCTGGTTCATTCTTGTCGGTCAATAATCCGCAGTTCATCATCTTGTCCAGCTGCAGAACCACAACGTGGGCGGGACCTGATTTTCTGCAACACCAACAACAAACACAGTTTATCAGAGCGAAGTTTTCTCACTCAGTGAACGAGAATCAGACTGTTTAGTGAACTAAGAACAGAAAACCAGCCCTTACTGTCAGTCAGTGACCTCGAAAACACATCAAACCCAGAACAAGTGAAGCGAAAGTGAAAGAGAACCTACCTTTAAATGTAGAGCTGACAGCTGCCGTGGAGCTGAAATAGAGCTGTGTCTGATTTAGCTTCGTATGTCTAATCGTTCCCAGCACAGTGACTGAGCAGCTCATTTACTGAGATGAGCTCAAATGCGGAGGGTACAGTGCATTAAGAGTCTGCAGGGCTAGGTAACCCCGCCCACTCCGGGGTGCGCCCCTTTACTAATCCACACACTGTCCCAACTCGTATACTATATAGGCTACCTGCTTTTTAAGGGCTTTTCTCAGCATTTATCGTAAAGCTTGTATCTTACAGTTTTGCCACAGTCTTCACCTTTGAAACAGCTTCCTGTTTTGGCATATTTACTGCAATAACAGCTGGTGCGAGGCTAAATTCCCACACGGCAAAAAACACAGTTATGTATATTTACATGTGAGACACATTTCATGCGAGAATACATCGTTTTAGTCCAGAAATATATTCCAAACACTAAAGTACGCTAAGAAACAACACATTACGTTTTTAAATTTATTTTATATATTTTTACATGTGCGAACTTTCCGTGTGGGTTATCACTGAAAAGCCCCCTTAATGCTTCCTTTCTATCATCAGGAGTTTCCTCCTGTGTGACTTTGTGTTCTGGTTAGTCTGCTTGTGTTCTTTATACGGTGTTTGGTCTATTTAAATAAGAGCTCCTGTCCAGAACAGCGCCTGTTCTAAAACACACCAGACTGGATTTCATCTGGAGCTGAAAGCCTGTTTCCCATAAATCCCTCCCCGCCCCGTTTCTGGATAACAAACCTCTGTAGCTGTGTCAGCACAGGGACCCTCCTCTCCCTTCTATGTATCTCTGCCAGCGATTCACTTGAAAACAATCCCCGCCGCCCCCTCTCCTCTTCCACAGAGCACAGAGTTTAAACAGGCAGTAGAGTCCACTCTCAGTCCTGGGCTCTCTGGATGTGAAGCTACTCACAGCCATGTGAAGAGAGGGATTTTAAAGTAAGAGTTCCTCTGAGCACACTTAGGGGCAAAGATGCAGATCTGCGCCCTCTGCTGGACACGTTTACATCATTTAGAATCATTTATTTCACCATGGGGACGTTTTTGATAATTTATATTTACATTAAAAAAAAGACTTAAACCTGGCAACTGTGACAGAGTCCCCTCCTCCTGGACACTCAGTGGCTTAAACAGTGGCGCAATCACAATAGATAGCTGTGCTGACAATGCAGTCTGAGGTAGACAGCTGTCAGCTGAACTACAGAAACTAATCTTATCATTAATCACATTGCAATGCTGCCTAGTCCTTAAGCCAACAGTGCACCTTTAGAAACAGGTTCTGCGTTTAAGGTAATCTGAACTAATCAAACACATTTTCTGTATACAAATGGTTTGACTGGATAAAAAAGTTTGAACTTCATCCAAAATACATTTTGTGTCCAGGAATGGAATGCAACCAAAACCTGAACAATCCAGGATAATCCTGTACAGGTGGCAATCCCAAATTCATATATTGGAATACATTTAAACACTTACTGATACAGTACATGGGAAAAAGTTTGCTGTTGAAATTTTCATGTAATCATGCTGTTTCATGCTGTTCATGTAAATCCTCTGTTAATATCCTTCATGAAAAAAATCACTTACTCAAAATAAGTTACAAAATTCTCAACATTATTTGGCTCTCCAGTCCACTGCTGCTCCCATAATCTCCTTGCTGTCTTATTAACTACGAGGGGAATTTGCCATATTGTATGATTTAGTTATTGACATGTCAATTGTCATGAAATCTATGAACGAGTCCATTACAACACAGATTATACACATACCACTTGTAAACATGTTTACTACTGAACACACTGTTCAGTTCTATCATCCCTCAAGAGTTCAGTGATGCTGAGATTAACACCTGATCATCACATTGTTTTACTCAGGCTTTAGCATTAGTTTGTAACAAAGCTGATTTTGAGTTCTTCTTCAAAGTATGCTTTTACAAGCCAATATAAACAATAAACAAGTACTGATGGTGTTTTTTTTAAAGATGGTATACATTTTTTTAAATGTAATGGATAAGTATTCTAAAAGTAGTATTATCATACAGTTTTAAAACTGCTGAACTATGGCCCTCAGTACCCCACCCCTGTTGTAAAGAAAGAAAAAAAACTTTCTAAACTTTCAGAATTTTATTTGCATTAATGGCACTGGCATTTTATTGAACATAATTTTCAAAAGTTACTTCAACAGAAACATGCAAGATTCCCACAGGTAACCTTTATGTCTCACTGTACATAATTATTCAAACGCACAAGAGCAATAAAAAATCCTCTGGAACCTGAACAGCAACATTATTTGGTGAAATGCTAATATAAAACTACTTTTTTTTTGGTTGTAAGACCATCTCAGTCTGTTTGCAGGGGGCAGAGTAACTTCAGAGTCCAAGATCCTCTTCTTTAACCTGGCAGCCCAGCAGATCATTACCCACACGAACACTCTCAGAAAGACTGACCACTGAAACACGCACAGAAGTCATCATTACACATAAATGGGCCTGGCTTGCCCAGCATATGTTTGATTGGCATGAGATATTTATAATTATTACACACTATATTCTTGAATGTGTTTTTACAGCAACAAGCTCTAGTGCAGAACAATTTTGCAGCTACAATAAAACGTGTAAAATGTAACTGTTTTGGGTTCTGATCAGTGATTTCTGGTGAGAATGGAGAGTTTACCTTTCTGGTTGCGGATCCATGTTACTGCCTTCATGGCCACAAACTGCCACTCAACCTGAGCGTCCATCTTAAACCCGTGTAACCAGATCAGAGCCAGAATTGTAGCCCAGACCCCCTTCTCCACCTGAACACAAAACCATACTCTAATCTCTACGAGTGAACATTTGACAGCTTTGATGTCTGTATTTGATTTACTCAGAAAACTGTAAACTGTAAAGTTTATACAACCACGCTTCCCAAAAAGTGTGAACTCTTTGCAAAATGTAAAAAATAATTTAATGCAATGACGTGCAAAATTATTTAAACCCTACACTTAACCGAAAATAACACAGACAACAAGTAAAAGACAACAGGCTGCACTGCATTAAAAACATACACTATTCTGCAATAGAAATCACTTCCATTTCAGGGCCCGAGCTCAATCAAGATGGACTGAGGCGAAGTGGAGAAGTGTCCTGTGCTGAATCAAAATTTTAAATTCTTTTTGGAAATGGGTGCTGCATCCTCTAGGTTATAGACGAGCGGGACCATCAGGCTTGTTATCAGTGCACAGTTCAAAAGCCAGCGTCCGTGATGGTTTGGGGGTGCATTAGTGCACATGGCATGGGCGACTTGCACATCTGTGAAGGCTCCATTAATGCTAAATGAGATTTAGCATTAGCAGTGCTGCCATTCAGAAGACATCTTTTTCAGGGAAGGCCTCGTTTATTTTACCAAGACAATGACAAACCACACGCACGTATTACAACAGCATTACTCTGTATTAAAAGAGTCCAGGTGCCCTGCTACCTGCAGTCCAGACCTGTCACCCACTGAAAACATTTGCCGCATTATGAAACTAAAAATACGACAAAGGAGACCCCAAACTGTTCAGCATCTGAAATCTTATATCAAGAATGGGAAAACATTTCATTTTTTAAAACTACAGCTGTTGGTCTCCTCAGCTTCTAAATGCTTACAGAATGTTGATAAAAGGTGATGCAGCACAGTGGTAAACATGCCCCTGTCCCAACTTTTTTGAAATGTGTTGCTGGTATCAAATTCAAAATGGAAACATTATTTTTATTAAACCACAAAGCTTTATTACAATATATAAACATTTAACCAGTACACATTTGAAACAATCAAATCCACTTGTGGGCCACAAGAGCTTCTGCAGTCGACTGTGTGGGCCAAGTGTTGCAAAAGGTTAGGATCCCTGTTCTTGTGAATACAGTGTTGAAGCTCAAGTGCTTTCTTATTGGGTTTGAAGTAGCAATTCAACAGACAAAATATACACTACACCTATTTGCATTTTTATTAAAAAAGGCTGCTATTTGGGCTTCATTCATATATAGTATTATTTAGTGAATATTTATTGATGAAATGACTGCCTCCCCATGAGCATTTCTCCTATAAAATGAACAGTAAAGCAGCAGCACATTATTCAATGTGGAGGGCTGTATCTCTCAGGGTAAATAGCTATGCTCGACATGAGAAGTGATACCTCTGGTTATGCTCTTGTTGGACATGATATCTGTTATTTTGGCAAACTGTCATGCCAACTATTGCTGTTTTAAAAGCTTTATTAGATCAATTACTATTCAAATTAAGGTATTCAAAGCTTTTTAGTATAAAGCATTGCTGGTGGAACTGGCAGACCATGTTAAACACGCCTTATTTATTAATTGCACACTGAATGATCGACTACTTGTTGGGCTTGATGGGCTTACTGACAGGAACAGATTCTAGATCAGTACTTCTAATCTGAGACACTCTGTGAATATGCTACTTAAGTAGTTTGACAGCTCATTCTTACTTGTAAGTAAAAATCTTTAAGAAAGATATTTTTATTACAAAATGAATAGCCTTCACAGAAGAACAACTTAATAATACAACCTCATAAACAGTGTGTACTTTAAAAATACACCAAGAATAAATCAGACTCTGGTGGTAAGTCACAAAATCATTATTAAGTCTTTTATTCAAAATATCACTCACCTGTGCAGGGGTCTGTTTGACCACCTCTTCTTCTGTCCTCCCAAACACCTTCGCCAGCGTACCGTCCACTTCCCAGCAGCCTGAAGCCTTCTGGAGGGAGATGAGCTGCAGCAGGGGGTCTTTAATACCCAACAAAGGTTGTACAGAGGCACATGCATATTGCTGCTGTCAAGACAAAACCTTGTATCTCCATTTTTATTGTTTTTCAGTTTTTGACATAATTTGAAAAGGCCTGTTGCCCTTTACATTGTGTGTAAATTTCAGGCTGAATGGAGTAAAAGAAATGGTCAAAAATGACATGGTAAAAAGTCTGGTTCCATTGACTTACAGTAAAAGTACAGAAGGTTTTTTCCTTCTCCTGTAAAGTTATCAATTTGGAGATACAAGGTTTTGTTCTGACAACAGCAACACACACATACACACACACACACACTAGTAATATGTGCTAAATATAACTAGTAGCTAGTAACTTAAAAACAGAAAATTATATTAAGAGTGACTGTATGAGGATTTGGTGACAGTGGGGTTTGTGAAGCTCTGCACCTGAAGGCTAACTCATGTCCATCCAACAGGTTTTTAGGCTCAAAATCAAAAGAGGAATATAAAAAATTGAGCCACAGTACAGGTAACAAGGAGAAAGTGCAGGATGAAAGGCTTGATCAAACCACATGTGGCCTAAGCAGGCATCGTAAGTGGAGGACAGTGTGAGCAGTGCCAAAGACGGGCAGAACTGGATGCTGTGGCTGCGTTCTTATGTCATGCAATAAGATCAACAGACTGAAGCCAGATGCAAAGCAAATTTCTCAGTCTGCTCAAAGAACACTGAGGAATGGGATAAAGGTTAAAGGTTAAAAACATTTCACAAGACTGCTGCATGACCTCCCCTGAACGAACATGAACAAGCACATTATGCCTTAATTGACTCATTAAGACTGGTTAGGAAGGTCAAGAACTGTCATTCTAAATTTTCATCTAATGACAGTTCCAGAGTGTAATAAATTATCTGTTACTTCAACACTTGTGCTAACACTCAACAGGGGCTCCTCCAAGCACCTGTAATATTCAGACGCCTCTGAAGGCACTGAATACCTGGATCAGGCGTGTTAGATTAGGGTTGCAGCTAAATTCTGAAGAGTGACAGATCTTCAGGATTAAAGCATGCAAAACAACACCTAGATGAGCCAAAGACATTCTGGAAACAAGTGCTGTGGGATGATGAAGTAACAATGGAACTCTTTGACCACAATAACCAAAGTTTTTTTCGAAGAAAAGAATGAGTAGAATTTGACGGAAAGAACACCCCAGCAATTGTTCAACATGGGGGTGGAACTACTATGCTTTGGGGTTGTGTGACAGTCAGTGGCACAGAAAACACTGCACAAGTAGATGGAGAGATGAATTCCACTAAATATCAGCAAATTCTGGAAACAAATGTGGCAGTGAGTCAACAAACTAAAACTAAAAAGAGGAACAATGAACTAAAACCCTTAAAATCCACCACAAAGTACTTCAAGAAAAGCAAGCTGAAGCTTTTTGGCGCTCACAGTCCCCTGACCTCAACATCATTGAGGCTACACCTTAAACACGCTGTGAATGAAAATATTGCAGAATTAGATGCGTCCTGCAAGAAAAAGTGGGTAAAAATTCCCAAAACAAGAACAGAAAGACCGCTAGCTGGCTACAAAAAAAGCTTGGAAGCTGTGATATCTACCAAAGGCGATGTTTTAAGTCCTGACTTAGTTAATCAAATATTAAGTATATCTGCATCACCATTTGCAAATTTTTAAAATAGTTTGCTCAGAGGTTGTGTTTACTATTTTCACTTCAGACAATCAATTAGTAATTTGCCAAGAAGAAAGCAAGTTCAAGTTTACTGTTAACTCAGATGTTCAGATGTGACACCACTGGATTAGCAATAAGCTTAAAAGTTCCGAGGAATTATGGCCTTACACAGTACATTACGTTGTTTTGCTGATTTTCTAAGTGAAAATAAGTTAACACATCCTCTAGAGAGAGGGCACTTTAACATGCAATAAAAAACAAAACAAAAAACAAAATATCCCTTAGCTTGTACACATCGCACATTTTCTGTTATGTATTTATTCCAATACATTAAATTCCAATACATTTGTGCATTAAAATGTGCAAAACCTCTGCTCTCTGCAGAGGACGTGTCAACTTATTCTCACTTGAAAAATCAGCAACACGTCATTTTACCAGGGTGAATAGTCTTTTGAATATTCGAGAGCAAGCTGTGTACTCATATTTATGAAGCCTTTGCTGTGTTCTATAAATCTTAAAGCACAGGGACGGCCTCATGAAGTCAGTATAACGGTCTAGACCAGACCAATCTGACAAAATCTCCTGGAATTGCAATACAAGAGTTAAGGAACCCTGCTGCAGCTGAGTGGGAAATTCAAGAGGCCACTGCAGATTTAAAAAAAACTAAGAAGGCCAGGCTCAGCTAGATACACAATTGTTTAGATAAAAAAAGGACATAAAACATCTTATTTTATTGCATGCAAATAACTGTTTTAGACAGAGGTCCTCCAGCCACCTTATCCAGACTCATCAAAACTGCTATTCCTATAAAAAGTTGTTAACAAAAAAAAACTGTTATTCCTAAAATAGGGAAGAATGTAGTTCATACAGATTGATTTCAAGATGATCACTGCTAACATCCGGACCAATGCTTAATTTGAAAGTTTCAGTTACTTTTTGCACTGTTAAAATTCCATGATAGAATAGAAATTCCCCAACTTTACTTAGAAAACAGGCTGTTACATTCCATTAAAAGCTAAGAATGTATTTTCCTTTTTCTGTAAAGTTATTTAACCACATGTCTGTAGCCAGTACTCAACATCAACATCCCAGAACAGATATGATGGAGTGAAGCAACAATACTTCATGACTGATAGCGTTTTTTCATGTTTTAGTTTTGGCTGAAACATCATAATGTGGACCCATATATTACATTCAGAACTAAGATCTGCAAATAGAGTTAATGGATACTTCACTTTTTACTTCTCTAGCTACATGTTATCCAGTTATTATACTTTTTTCAAAAGTTTTGTTTTCCAATTCCAAATTTTGGAACCTCCTAATCTTTGAGTATCTTTACAGTCCTTACTTAAATGACCAAATTCCACATGACCTAACTTTGGAAATCCCCAGGTTTTTAAATTTTTTGTGTGACTAATCTTGCCATCCACTGGTGAATGTTAAAAATATATATGTCAAGAGATGTAATTATCTTTTTTATATATGTTTATAATAATAACAAATAAGCATCTTACCCATTCTTTCAAGACCACCATCTTCATCTATGTTGGCTTCTGCAAAAATAAAAAGAAGGAAAAAGAAAATGTTTATAAGTGAGTATATGTAAAAAAGTAAGTGATATATTAATAACGAATATGCTTATGAATATGGGCAAGAAATAAAGTAGTACTATCTTACTCATTCTTGCATGTCGACCTGTAAAAAGGAAAGGAAAATGTGAATTTTGATGTCTGTATACACAGTATACAAGAGAAACAGGAGTCTTTGAATAATCCATTTTGAATAATCCATTCCAAATTACTGATTACTTCTCTCAAACTGTAAAGAGATTATTCTCTAGACAGCTAATCTAATTTCTCATTACTTTACTTCTAAGTTATTCTCTAAAACCCACACAGATCTGTACCAGTTGGAAAGCACAGCAGAACAGCCAATAGTCCTTTTAGTTCTTTTTTCAAAAATAAGTAGTTGATTGCAGTGGGCAGCATTTAAAAGGCCAGCGACAATCCCTGGCTTTTTGGGGATTTCAGAGTCACCCAGTTGCAAAAAATAATCTAGATGCCACCTCAATGCCAACAAACTATTTACAAGGTTTGCCAGAAGGAAGTCATTTCTTTCATCCAGCCACAAATGAAAGCACCTGGAGTTTGCTAGATGCTACTGGGACTTGAATCTACTACTACTACTATCCACTATTGAGTATAGTGAAAGATAGCCTTCTTAAGGGAACAGGAAATGCATGTGGAGAGCTTCTTTCTCACACATTCAATCCAAGTTTCTGTTAAATCAGCATTGGTTTTTGCATTGGTCTCAGTTGGTTAGTAGATAGTAGTACAGTAGGATAGGTTAGTGTTGCTGCAGTATGATCTACTTATGTGAAAATAAGAGGCTGGTATGTGTTATCAAGCCAAGTAATTGATGAGATTTAGATTTTTTTTGCCTGGCAAGGACCTTTGTTTTCATTATCAATGTTACTGTATAATTACTAATTATACTACTGACTACCACATATACTCTATATAACATTCCAACAATTAGCAAGTAATACTAGTACAAATTTTATCCATTCTTGCAAAACCACAGGCAATAACTTTGTAATTATTGAAATAAGAAAAAAGAAAATGTGTTTATTTATGTATAGGTAATCAGTAAGTAATGAATATGTTTTAGCAAGTAATATTAATCTTACGCATCACCAGCTGCTTTGTGGAGGTAAAAAGAAGAACATTATACTATTTTTTTGGATTTGATTTCCCTTGAGCTCCAATTATAATATTTGTGAGGTTTTATGCACCAAAAACTGTTAGAGTTCGTTTTCCAATCTCTCTTTATCCCTTAAAATTAAACAGGCTGTTGTACCCTTAAGAAAAATACATGCAAATGCGCTCTGTTCTGATTGAAACACTCCTTAGAACTTCAACACGAATAAGGGGCTAAACTGCTGTAGGATAAAATAGATGGCTATATGTAAATGTGTTAGGCTTAATAACATCACCAACACAGAGAACTCAAAATCTGCCATTTCCTCAGGTTAGTTTCTCTATATGAACTGTAAGCACTGCACAGTGAATGTTCAGTTTTGAAACTTGATCACAATGTTTACACGTTATTGTAAGTAATACTAATCTTACCCTTTCGTCCAAGACCACCACCACCTCCTTCACCAACTTTGCAAAGATGAAAAGAAGAAAACAAGCTTAATTGCAACTTAAACCTTAAACCGCCTATTATTTCTTAAATCTAATACCATTTCCATGGAGAAAATGTTTATTATGAACTATCTGGAAAAGGGAACAAATCTAATATATATATATATACACACACACACACACATATATATATATATATATATACATATATATATATATATATATATATATGTTCAGTTTTCAATGATATGGGCCCTTCAAGTATGTATAGGTAATCAGTAAGTAATTAAGATGTTTATGCATGATTACTGTAAGTAATGCTAATCTTACCCATTCGTCCAAACCCACCACCACCACCTCCTCCACCAACTTTGTATAGATGAAAATAGAAAACAAGTTTAATCACAACTTAAACCTTCAGATTCACCTTTTTGTTGTTTTCCCTTCCACCTTAAATAGTGCAGCAGTTATGTTCTGGTGCTTCAGCTTTGTCAACCATGGATGGTTGATTAGTCAAGCTGTTTGAAATTATGAGCAGAGAGAGCAACACTGAGCTGGAACATTCTCACATTCATCTCCTGTCACTTTCTCTGCTGAACACAATAATGTTAGGCAATGAGCCGTAGACTGAATGGTGACAGTGTGCTGACTTTTGCGCAAGCATCAAACACCCATGCTAACATCTCAAATATGCTAACTTTTTTCAAATGTCTCAATTACCAGAGCAAAAAGGAAACACAAACTGCAGCAAATACTTCACCACACAGTATTCAAGCAGCCACCAAGTGCCATTTCTGTACAGGCAACACAAATAACTCCACAGGGAGGCTTATAGCTTCCAATTTGCACCAGTACTTGGGTGTAGAGAGTCCTGGATTCCAGACTTCTAGAGGTAAATGAGCCATGTTAGAAAATCCCCTCTTGCAAACACTTCAGCCAGCAGGTAAGAGACATATTTTATATAGAAATATATGGTATCATGGTCCACAAGTAGTCCACAAATATAGTCCACATATTTTTTGTTTGCTTTTAAGATTATGAGCCATAATAACACTTTGCCAAACACACATGAAACATACATCTTGCATTTTTGTTTATACTGTTATTTTTTTTATCTTATGTCCCTCCAATAAATCACCTCTTTTACAGGAAAACAAAAATAGGAATTACCAATAAAACAAATTAAGAAAAAAAACATAATGCAACAGTTATGTTAACGCTTTCTTTCTAATTCTGTATCAAGTGTTGAGTATTGTGATGCAAAAATGACAATACTTATTGTATAATGAGATTTGCGTACTGGTATACCCTCCTACTGTTTACAAGTATGCATAATTAGTGCTGCAGTGTCTGAGTCCAGGTTTGGAATGAATTGATTTTTTAAACCTAAGAGATGGGAGAAAGGTATTATTAAGGAACATGTAATTCATTAAAATGCTGTACTGATCATGTGGAGGGTGCTTTTTTATTTAATACTGAAGCTAGAAAAGTTTTGGATTAAACTATGTGGAAAACCACACAGCTCAATATCAGAACTATTAATAGGCAGCTCTATAGTAAACTTTATTGGGTTACTGTATTTGCCAACGCTCATTCTAATACAATGTCTAACAATAAATAACATTAGCTAATGTTAGCAAAGTTAGCTTTTCTTAATTTAGCCGATCTCATTTGAACTCTTCAGATTCGAGCTTGCCTCGATTTCGACCAGTCATAGTCTTCGACTCGACAAAGGTAATCTTGATTAAAGCCCTTATTTGTTAGTGATTAGCATGTTTATACATGTTTATAGAAAGTAATACTAATGAAACAAAATCCACCACATCTGACATTAAAAATACAGAGAACTCAAAATCTGCCATTTCCTCAGGTTAGTTTCTCTATTTGAACTGTATACACTGCACAGTGAATGCTGAGTTTTGAAACTGGTTCACAATGTTTACATCCAACATCAAACGCTTATTTGAGGAAAGTGAGAAAGATTCAGTTTTCTGTGGTATGGGCCCTTCAAGTATGTATAGGTAATCAGTAAGTAATTAAAATGTTCATGCATGTTTACTGTAAGTAATACTAATCTTACCCATTCGTCCAAACCAACCACCACCTCCTCCACCAGCTTTGCAAAGAAGAAAAGAAAACAGGATTAACTGCAACCTAAAACTTTAGCCTATTATTTTAAATCTAATACCATTTCCATGGAGAAAATGTTTGTTATGAACTATCCGGAAAAAAGAACAAAACTTTTCTGTGTCTTTGAATATTCTGAAAAAACAATATAAAAAAAACTATGATATGGGCCCTTCAAGTATGTATAGGTATTCAGTAAGTAATTAAGATGCTTATGCATGATTACTGTAAGTAGTACTAATCTTACCCATTCTTCCAAAACCACCACCACCTCCTCCACCAGCTTTGCAAAGAAGAAAAAAACAAGAAAACAATGTTAATCATGACTTAAACGTTCATTATTTGTGACTTAAACCTTCATTATTAATCTACTACCATTTCCACGGAGAAAATGTTTATATAAACTATGTGGAAAAAGGAACAAAATTTTGTTCTCTGTCTTTACGTTTATAGAAAGTAATATTAATGTCACCTTTCTTTTAACAGAATCCACCACATTTGTAAAGACAAAAAGAAGAAAAAAACATGTATAAGTAATAAGTAGCTAATATATACTTAATGAACTTGTCTGAAAATATTTGTAAGTATACCTTATCTTGCCATTCACTGCCATTTGTTATAAGCATGTGTTAGTAATACATTTATAGTAGGTAATACCAATCTTACCCATCCTTGCACCACATTGACCACCTCCTCCACCACCTAAGTAAAGACAAAAGGAAGAAAACAAGTACATGTTTTATAACATGCATAAGTAATAAGTGAGTAATATATATCCAATGAATATGTTTATAAATATTTGTAAGTACAATGACTCATGCCATTGGCTGCCTCCATATACCTGCGTGACACGCGTGCATTGGGCAAAACACTGTCAATATCAGTAATCTGTTTATGCTGGACAGTGCTGAAAGAAGACCTAGAGATGAATCAGCGTGCAGCAAACTAAAAATGCATGGTAAAGTAGAACGTTCCTGTTACCCTCAACAGCATCCACTGTAACAAGAATCAAAGAGCTATACAAAAAAAAGATGGTTCTTCAAGGGTTTTTTAGTAAAGAAAACGGTTCTTTATAGAACCATGAACACTCAAAGAACCCTTTGGATGATTACAGAGTTCTTTGCATATCAAAGGGTTCTTCAGTTTGATGGAAAATGGCTAATGTTCTATAGATGGTTCTATTTTTAATTTCTTTTTGAAAAAGGTTCTATATAGCACCCAAAAGGGTTCTTTTATTGTTAAAAGCTTGACACTGTATCAATAGAAGAACCCTTTTGGGTGCTATATAGAAACCTTTTCAACTACAGCACATTCTCCATCAGTCTGGATAACCCTTTCATGATGTAAGGAACCCTTTATCATGCAAATGGTTCTTTGAGTGTTTAAGATTCCATGTTGAACCGTTTTCCTTACTAAAGAACCCTTGAAGAACCATCTTTTTTAAGAGTGTATATGATCGAGAGAGAGACAGGCTACAGTCATGGAGGACTTGAAATCACGACTGTATATATGATACACTATATGACCATAAGTATGTGGACACCCCTCCTAATTAGGGGGGTTAAGTGTTCAAACTACACCCATTGCTGAGAGGTATAAAAAATCAGGTATGGTTTGATAAGTTTGGTGTGGAGGAACTGCAGTGGCCTGCAGAGAGCCCTGACCACATCCTCACTGAACAGTTTGGGATGAACTGGAACGTCGATTGTGAGCCAGGCCTTCTTGGCCAACATCAGTGCCTGACCTCAACAATGCTCTTTTGACTGAATGGACACATATTCCCACAGGCACTCTGTTATAGAAAACCTTCCCAGGAAAGTGGAGGCTGTTAAAACCACAAAGAGCGAATGGAATCACTATAGGCTCATATTGGTGTGACGGTCAGTTGTGCATGTACTTTTGGCCATATAGTGTACATATGATAAATATGCTCATTGGTTGACTAGATATCTGGATATAGTAAAACTGTGTTCACCCAGTAGAAATTACATGACGGTCAGTTCATGTGACTCCTGCATTCTTATTATGAAAATAATGTTACTGGATCTTACAAAGTAATAAACACATTCTAATGAAGCTTTATGTCTCCACTTATATAGCTATAGCAAAATGCACTGATTTTTAAATGGCAAATGTCTTTTTAGGGTCAAATTTGAGCAAATAAAACCAATGTATTAACTTGCGAGCTAAAAAAGTTTATTTTATTCAAAGCTTTAGAAACATAATCCTTTAAATGCAGTTGTTAAGCTGGTGTATTCAGTGTCAGTATTACTTTTCCAAAGGTACACAATCCTTCCTTATTTCACAGTTAGACAGGTTACTCCACTTCACGCAATACTACATTATTAATTAGCTACTGCTTTTGCTATGGTTATGCAATATCTGAATACAAAACAATAAGACTTTTGTGAGACATATCCAGACTTGTATTAGGACTGACTCACATTAGGAAAATTCCATTTTCAGTAACTTACCAGTTTGGCGAGCCAAAGAACGAAACATTGCCTTCTTTCGATGCATCAACCCTGAACACAACACACAAAAACAGGACATGATGTTTTTGTGCCTAAGACAATACCACAATAGGAAGTTTTGTAAAAAGCAACACTAACCTGTAGTAGGCACTCTCCTCCTCAACAGTGGTCCTTTCACAGCCTCTCCACTGCCCTTATGAACAGCGATGAAGGCTGTGTGTGAGCTGCTCACTCCAGCCTGCACACTGAGTTCCACCACTCTGGCCTTTAAAGCCTCTTTCTCAGCTCCCTCATTCTGCTCCTCCCGTTCCAGAGAGCGGATCAGAGAGCGGGCAGCCAGTCTGTGGATGGACAGTCTGAACGGACAGTGTACGAGCTGTTTGAGGGTGATGAAGCCAACTGAGTGTAATTCATAGCTGGCCTGCCTAATATAACTACACAAATTAGTTCTTGTTACAGCCATCAGTGTCAAGTTATCCAATCCAGTTAACAAATGTAGTCTTTTTGAGTAAGAGTGGGTACTCTCACAACAAAAAAAGAAACAGAAGAAGTACAACTAATGCACACTGAGCTGATATTTACGGAGAGTGTTTATGAAAATTCTTTATTTTTGCCTATGCCCACCTGCATGGTTTAACTGTTGCAGTCATTCGCATAAAATGTCATAATAACAAATTTAAGAAGATGAAACTGTTCCTCTGAGAGAACAGAGAACAGTGGAGATCACAGACTGAATGTTACCCTGTATTCTCAGCAGGTTTGAGGGAGTAGCTGAGTGTGCTGGTGACTTCTTGATCTGCTATACGGTACTTCACTGTTACAGTCCCCTCAGAGTCTGAGCTCTGACTCTACAAACAGAGAAAAAATGTATAAAGCCACATATATATATATATATATATATATATATATATATATATATATATATATATATATATATAAAATCGCTGCAGTCAGAACAAAACCTTGTATCTCCATTTTTGTTGTTTTTCAGTTTTTGACATAATTTGAAAATGCTTGTTTCTCTTCACTCTGTGTGTAAATTTCATGATGAATGATGCTCAAAAAATGTCTGGTTCCACTGACTTACATTAAAAGTAAAGTATGTTTTTCCTCCTCCTATAAAGTTCTTATTTTGGAGAAACAAGGTTTTGTGCATATACATGTATATATATGTATATACACAAATTTCTTCACATACAAATATCTCATTGATTTGTGATACGCACCCATTCGACATACTACAGAACGTCCCTCAATGTGACAGAATCCATCATTTCCCATGTCTTACTTAAATTTTTATGTAATACATGCTGTCCTGTGTCATAACGGGAAAAGGATATATTTTGTAAACTGTATACTGAGAAGTTAGAAACTTTAATACTTTTCAGTTTTGCTGCTTGGAGCACCAGCTGGACTAGCAGTGTTCACTAAATTGAAAACTAGTCTAGTGCCAGTAAACAGGGGATTCTGCCACCGACTGCTGCTAGCCAGCGAGTTGCTCTTATTGTCTTGTAATGTCTTTAACAGTAGTACCCAAAAATCAATGGATTCATTGTGGAGCACATGTGTCAGACACTGAATTCAGCAAATGTCAGTTTGATAAAAGCTCTCACCTCTCCTTTCAGTTGCGTGTAAATCAGTGTCCTTTCACCATGGAAGACTGTGTTAATGGGTGGGCTCAGGCGTGTGGTGGACATGCCCACTGGGACTGTCCATTCTTCACTAATATCAACCACAGCTGGCTGCAGAGCATAGCGGAGAGACTGCATTACCTAGAAAGAAGAGAGAAGGCAAGAATGTTAAATAAAAAAGATGTTGAAGGAATTTGTTGAATGAGTACGCAGTGTGGAGCAGACAGCATAGAGCATGAATAACACCTTTAAAGAGGTCATATATTTTTTTCTAATAATTAAATGCTCTACATAATGGAAATGACTACTTAACTGGAAAATATCACTTAATCTAGTTAATATGCGACGTCCATGACTGAAGCCTACACGACTTTTAACGTCCTAACAGATTAAAAAAAAATGGGTATTTTTTTGGCAATACTGGGGATAAGACACTAAGCTACTTGAATCACACTCTACACAGCTTATACGTTACTGCTAACCCTAACAGGATTTCTACCAACACAAACACCTTCCTGTTACTAGAGAAGCAGATAAACACAGTTTGTACTGAAACAGTAAAGAAACAACATGACTGATCAGTTTGGTAGTTTCAGAGTTTTAGATGTACACGCACTCAACTGGGTTTACCTCATGTTTGCTCAGTCCCTTTTTCTCACATTGCCTATGTGACTCTTTGTCGATGTGTTTTGTACTGCTAGTTTGTATTTTTGTTTTAGTTTGCTTCCATTATGTTCAACTATTTTAGTTTGGTTTTCTTCGTTTTGTTTATTTTACCTTTTAAATGGGCATCTCTGCTCTGCTTGCTACCTGCTAATCAGTTTCTGGACTGTTAAATCTGACAGCAATAAAAACTCGCACTTGCATCCAGCCTCTTCACCTACTACCTTACAGGTTCCCACTTAGTATGATCCAAAACTTAACAAATACACAGACAAAAGTACATGAAATACCACATGGCAGAATGTCAGTGACATTGCCAGTGTTCCTAGATAGAAGCTCCTCTTAAATGGTGAGGCGCTGGTGAAGGATAAGGGGAGAGAATTCCACAATGTGTGTATTGTCAGTTCTTTAAAAAGCACTGCATTTCCTTTATTTGTTTACTGTAATTACTCTTCACTGACTGTTGTGGAAATCTATTTAGATTGAGTAGTTGACCTGTATGCACTACTAGATTACACTCACAGTTAGTGTTTGATATACTTCAACTGGTCTGAAATTCAATCAAGAAGCAAAAAAAAAATTAGTTTGTGCCTTTAACACTGTTTGAATTATTGTCCCAATGGTCAACTCTGACTGACCCAAAATCTGCAGACTAGCACCAACCAGCACAGAGTCAGGATATCAGGATAAAATCAGGATTAAAGTGTTTAGTGCAATCCTGGCTTAAGTATAAATAAATTATTTAATATGTTACTGCAAGTAAATTAAATCAGGTCAAATCATTAACGACCAATGTTGATGTTCTTAAGATAAAACAAATGTTCATTATTTGGTGCCACCAGATTGTATACATTCCTATTGTTTCTGTTAGCATTTTTACAGTTTGACACAATTGCCCCCAGCTTTACTTTGGGCTGCATGCGCTCAGCGTCTGTGATAAACTGGGCGTGACCACATCCCTCCTGAGCCATTCCTCTGATGAGCGCGGTGCTCGCACCTTCACCAATCCCAAACGTGAAGCACCTGTTGTGAAACAAAGCAACCTCAGTCATTATATCTGCATTATGTACATGAACACTTCATAAATCCTTCATAAATTATACCCCTAAACATAATTTGACCAAACAGTACAATCAAATAAATCACTTGAACAGCCTGGAGAAACATAAGCCTAGATCATATCACATAACCATCAAATCTCACTCCAGATAGCCTACTTAATTCAATCATAGTGAAATAATGATCATGTACGGATGGTCCTACTAATGTTATCAAATATCTGTACTTCTGAAGAGAGTTCTGCAAACTGAATAGTTAAACAGCCACACTCTACAGGCTGATTCATACTTTGGAGAAGTTGCACATAAACATGTGTCAGGACACAGAGAAGGGGTTTATGGTTAAGTTTAGCTCGCAGAGGCTCGGACAGGCCATGAGGTGCACCTCCAAAAGCTTAACTACACGTTCAGTGAATCTGTGCCACTGTCTGTCGAGATAATGCTGAGATGATGCTGGTTGAACAGGGAAGTGTATCTGGTAGAATTGAAGTTGACCTAAACGATACTCAATCCAAACCAGAACTGCAATAAAGCAAAATTCAAGGCTTGTCTGGTAGAAGAGGTGCAATGTTATAAAAACCCACAGTACCAATCTTCAGTTTCTGCACATTCTGGCAGGGATGCCGGAGATGCTTTAAATTAAGGGTGCTGTTTTTATAATCATCATCATACAGAATGTGTCACAACGTGACAGAATGAGGCGAGAGATGACAATATAAGCATATAACTGGCACATTAAACCGCTGACACATTATCATCTCACATATCTCAATCAAACGGTTGGTATGTGGTGCGGTAACCAATTGTGTCACGTCCATAGTCACACTGTGAGTTAACATAGGAAGGTGCACAGAGCAGAAGACGATGGTTCATAAAAACATCATTACGTCAGTTTTTTGTTTATATTGTCTGTATTGTTTGTTTAACATGATAATAGGCTCAGAACTGGCCTATAACTCTGCACACATTTTCCCTCTTTGCACCTCAACCTGCTTTATTTTTTAGTGGCCCACCTGCAAAGCGGCCAGCAGTTACTGAGAGAAGCGATTGGGCTCGTTGTAATGAAAATGCAGCATTACTGTAAAAATACTTCACTCTAAAACAATCATGCATGGGTTTTAGAACTTTTTATTATTACTATTATTATTTTTAACAGTTGGAGTCCTTAAATCTGGAGGTGCTGCAGCCTGTTTTAGCATCCCCACTTCACACATCCCTGCATTTTGGTTGGGCTAGAGTAAAGCTGCCGTACAGTGCACACATTCACGTATATGATAGGAGACACCCGCACAAATTTCTACAAACACTTGCACATGTTCACAGATAGGCAGATGTATAATCTGGCTTTCTGTGTTATGAAAGGTGTAACTGTATAAATGTTTAAACATTTAGCATTCCCATTGCTCAATTATCTAGTCAAACATTGCATCCAGTGAAAATAATACATATTAATAATTGATCAAGCCTTGAGTAGCACCAACACATGCCTGTGGGAATCAGCATTGTTTCTCACGAGAGAAAGAACTTGTTTGGTGTTCTCCACCTCTCCATCAGTAAATATAAACACCTGCAGAGAAAGAAGAAGAAAGAAGATGAAACTTCAGCCTTAAACACTGACAAAAATACATGCATGTTAATGCCAATCCTGACATCCACCTATTTTGTTATGTCTTTACAGCATGGAATTTATTTTATTTTTCTTGTTTTCTTTTATTTCCATTGCAGTTAGTTCACTCATTTTTGATTACATCCTTGACGTGTGATTGTTAAGCCTTGCTTACCTCTGTGCATTCCTAAATAATCAATGATTACAGACTGAGGCAACCTGATAAAACCACAAGAGTTACTGAGCAGTTATGTAACGAGGACGACGACGTAATCACCGACAGCTACACATGACTGGTCATGAGTGTCTGCTGTCTACTGTTTGTGTCTCATGATTGGCTTAACTATTAAAAGATGCACAAATAGCTGGAGGTACAAAAGCCTGTATGCTAGAACTGTTGTTATTCCTGCATCTCAGTCTCCTGACTCTCCTAAAGGAGATTTACTCCTTTTTTTGGATTTTTGGCATTGTGATATCAAACTGGGATTTGACCTCAATTTTGCCTGACATTATCAGTGCCACAACATTACAGTTAGGAGAGAGGAACAAATGTGTGTTACTGACTACTGCTGTAGTATGCAACTTTTCTGAGCTCAACATTTGTAAACCATTTGGTCAATAAAGACAGGGCAATAAAATAATGTTGTTTAGATAATAAAGATAAGACATTAAAATGCTGTTGCTTAGATAGGACACTGAAGCAATAAAGATATAAGGATAATAAATGCATGTGTTGCTTATGGCATAACAAATGCTTCATTATGATTTGGATCAAAATCAGATCTCATTTTAGGAGCCATTCATACAAAAATAAAGATAATTTACTTTCAACTTAATGGGAACCTGTAGCATGCATTTCAGTCGTAATCAAAATACCTATGTTTAGAGTGCAATGCTTTAATTAAATAATTAAAAATAAATTGTTTATTTTGTATTTGTGAGAAAGGACCAGCGTTCAGGATAGAGTGTGTTTCATTTTTGTATAGGGATAAACATCTGATTGACAGGTTAGCAGAAACTTCACTGGCTTCAGTTGTTTTAGTGTTGCTAACTAGCTTAGCTAAAGTTGATGTCTAAGTAACTACATGCCACAGCATGGCTGCAAGGGATTTTTTGTCATACTTGCAACACATACTAACATTACAGCAAAACCAACAGACATTAATTTCATAATTACGTTTACACTGCAATAGTTTTTTCTTTATCAGACGGGCTGAGGCAAATGCATAAAAATAATAAAGCAGATAACATGCTGAGCAGCTGATTCTTTACTCACCAAACTCACCAAATCTATGATTAAGTATATACATGTTAATTACTTGCATACTGGCAAGCTGCTGGTACTGGGCGATACAAAACAACCCCATATACCCGACCGCATTACCCAGGGGCCACTATTTGACAAGTAAAGTTAATGCTAGTCATGTCAAGTAACGTTAGTGCTAGTCAAGTAATGTTAACAGTGAAGTAGCATTAATGCTAGACAAGTAAAGTTAATACTAAACAAGTAATGTTAATGCTATTGAAGTAAAGTTAACGCCAGTCAAGTCAGGTAACGTGAATGCAAGACAAGTAACGTTAATGCTAGTTAAGTCAATAACATTAATGCTAGACAAGTAATGTTAATGCTAAGTAACGATGTTGGCTCGAAAGGGGCACAAAGAAAACATGTGACTGAGACAATGAGACAACAGAGCTTCAACCAGAACCAGTACTAAATGCAGGCCGGAAGCAGCAAGCTAACGTTAGCACCACACCTAGCAGCGAGAAGCACATTTGTCAGAGCCACTTCAAGCACTGACGAACGTGGCAAACATTTAGTAGCCATGATTGAGCCATGAACCAAGCTGTGTTAGTGATGAGCAGCTCAGGAGAACAGAGTTAAACAGAGTCTTTTTATCCATATTGTCTTAATAACTGATAACAGCATTTTGGTCAACTATTATCAGCGAGCAAGTCAAGATGTCTTTTCAGATAATATATACCCAAGCTTTTTACGTCACTCAAAAATGCTTTTTATACTTGAGCATGTGCTAAACTCAGGTGTATTAGCCTTAAAGCCTCTGTCAACATGGTTTCAAATATAAGCCCAAATAAGTTCACATAACCTGTTTTTCTAATGTGGCAGCAATGGCAATACAACATCATCATAATAAAAGTTCCCTAAATCTTTTAACTAATTCTCCATTTTTGCGTGAAACGGCACAATCAAAGTAAAGAGAGCACTGTTCACATATACTTTGGGCTACAGTCATGATCTTAGTCTGATTTGAAAGGTAACACTCTCAAGTGTTCCCAACCATCAGAATAACTGTATGATTTACTGAAACAGAGGCTAGAATGTAGGAGTTTATTTCTGCCTGACGGTCTACAGTGACAGATTGCTCTGTTATCAAGGTCACATTTTGGATTATGATGTCTCTGTGGATAGCGGCAAAGACTTGAAGGTAAGGACCCACAGATTTGCAGATTCGCACTCATTCGGTGCTTATGTTGCAAACGAGACAAACATTACTGCTGTGAATAACAAATAATAAAATCGGTTACAGGATTTCAAGCTTTATAACATCATTGCCTCACCATACTGCTGAACGATTTGTTGCATAAAAATGACGTATGAAAAAACAGAAGTGAATGCTTTGATGGAAGTGTGTCAGCACTGGTACAGTGATCTAGAAATGGTTAACTTAAAACAGTTGAGAAGTATATGGGATATATTCAGTTTTATGTACAACAGACTTAATTTATTTTAGTTAAAGCAAAATGTGGGATTTCAGTGTATTCAAGATACACCGGTCAGGCATAACATTATGACCACCAAATAGTACCTGCTCTGTGAGGGGGTCCTGACCACTGAAGAACAGGGTAAAAGGGGGCTAACAAAGTATGCAGAGAAACAGATGGACTACAGTCTGTAATTGTAGAACTACAAAGTGCACCTATATAGTAAGTGGAGCTGATAAAATGGACAATGAGCATAGAAACAAGGCAGTGGTCATAATCTTATGCCTGATCGGTGTATATTCACACACTTTAATATGATTTAATAGTAGTTAAATGCTGGCAAATGTGGCATGTCAGATCATGTGATGATTGACAGTGGCGTCTCCACAGCAATTTAAACTTGGTGCCAGTGACAGCGGTGAGCAACACCCCCAACGATGCTAGAGATTAGTGTGGTTCAGCCCTAAACAAGGGCCTTCCCCACATGAAAATATTCCATTTTGCTCTTCCTAACCGGTCTCTGAATGTTGAGTAAAAAATGCAAAATAGAGAACAAGCTCTCTATCTTTTAATTTTTGAGATCAAACGAGGGGTTGTACAGCAAGAAGAGGACAAGTCCAGTTGTCCATCTCACTATGTGTCATCTGCTTTGCAGGTGTCCACGCTAGATGTGTTATCCCAGACAGTATGTGTTGTGCTGAGTGAATCAGAACACACTCTAAATGTAGGTATGTCAACAAACACTCAGTTGCAAGCTTCAATTTCTCATTATGTTGAATGGAACTTTTTTGTTAATGTTTTGTAAAGTATGTCATTTTTGGATGGAACACAAGCAGAAATACACACCCATAATAATACATAAACATTTCTCACAGCTGCAGCTAACTGTCATTGGTGACAAATATATAATTAGCTGTGTTTTATGAAAGCTCTTATCAACACCTGTGTAGCACAGATAAAAAGTCTGCTGAACAGGTAAGTGTCATCATGAAGGCTGTAAGCTGGACTGAAATGATGGCACGCAGCAGGAATGAGTCAGGTAAGTGATGTTACCTGTCTGGGCTGGTTAGGGATGCACTGCTGACTGTAGATGTGTTTCAGAGGCTGCAGAATCTCAGTGCCACCCATGTCTGCTTGCATCTCCTTTACTCTCTTCACAGCCTGGTCCATTGTCTCCTGAGTGTATTCAACACTCTTCCTGAAGACAGCAAACACACACACACACACAAAGTCCTGAACGTTAAACCAGTCCTGAATCACCTTCAGTGTGAAAGTGTCTCATTCATGAACTGAGACTGTGATTTAAATTCACTCACGGAAAGAAAGATTCATAGTGTGAACCAAAGCCGTAGATATTGAAGTAGCAGCCCAGAGGGAGACTCTTCAGCAGCAGGAGCAGAGTGTCCTAAAATATCAAAGACTATTAATAAATGTTGTTCAACCTAAATGTATTTTAATTCTCCTGAAAAAAAGAAAGTCAGTTCAGTGTTGAGTCTTACCCTGGCACTCTCAATGCGTGTCTGTGCATCTTTTTCTCTATGCATCGCCCAGCTCATACTGCCAGATCTGTCCATTACGAACACAAACTCACCACAAAATGCAAATGACGTTGGTGCTTCAGGGAACTCTACATTTAGCATGACCACAGGGTCTCCCATGAGAGTTCCTACAGGAAGGAGAAATAAGAGAATGTGTAGTGGAAAGAAAGCAAAAAAAAAAATTAAGACAAAAGAAAAAACTGAAAGAAAACGTGCTTAATAATGCCAATAAATAACAGTAACTGTTGATATGACGACAATACTTTTCTAGGCTGCTTTACTTTTGGATTATGATAACTCTTTTGCAAGCAAGTAATAAGAGCCACTATCCAGCATCACAGTCAATGCACACCCGGTTACTGTTCTCAATAGTATGTTCAAAATGTTCACATCACAGATATATGAAATAGATCGGGAACAGTTTGATTATTTGATTTGATTATATCCCACTCAGGAACAATCGGTGATTTACACATTAAATGTAGCTCTGACAAATTCATAAAATAATGGATGCAAAATAATTCTTCCGTGTCTATGCATCCACAGGTAAAATAGTTTTTTTGTTTTTGGGTTTGTTGTGTAACATCTGGGAAGTATACCGCTGCTGTTCACTTAAATCAACTGGAATTTTGTGTTTAGTTTACCTGGCTCTGCTGTGGGCTCTCCTGCCTCCACTATAGCAGTGGGCTGGTGGGCGTTCTCATAATATAGTAACAGCTCAACATCTCTGTCAAACATATGACCTGCAGACAGGCTCACCTAAACACATAGACATAGACACACGTGCACACACACACACAGAAGCATAAAGATTTAATATCTGCCATAGAAAGAGTTGTATAAATAAGACTTCTATGTGTCAATCTGCAACATCTGCACCTTTTAATGCTGAGAAGATAAACATTTATCATATATTTAAATGTATGATGTCTATTACCTCTCCTCTGCACATATGTACATTCTCTCTTTTTAAACACACTCATACCTTTGCGTTTGTGTGGTCTGCATTGAGGAACACCAGAGGCTCAAGAGGACATTTGGACTCTACTTTAGTGATGGGGTTGGGAGAGCTCACATGGGCAGTGAGAGAGAGAGAGTAGGGAACATCTGCTGGTGATGATGTTATCTCTGACACTATACCACCACCTGTACCTGAGAGAAAAACAGAGGAACCAGAGATAAGAGCTCATTTACATGTTTGTTCCTTATATTGAGTTATCTAGTGCAATGTGACATGTGACATGATGTATATTACTATAAACAGCAATGTGCAAAAGTCAGAGACCCCCCTTCATTTATTAATATCCAGTCAAAATGTTGCATTATGTAGGTTATTCATTTTTTAGCTGATATTGTGATTACATATAAAATGACCCATAATAAAGGGGAAAGTTAAATGAAAATAAATGAAAACTGGAGTTCAAAAAATGATTAAAAGATTTTGAGGAAATAAGACTCCTAACAACCGTGCAAAAACCTGGTAGACCACCAAAACTGTCACCATCATCTGCTTTCATCTTTAATAGATAAGAGAAAATCAAGCTCCACTCTTGCTTCCACAGGTGTTTCTGTCCATCCCACCGCTGTGAGAAGACGACTCAGTACTATGAGTCTGACAATTCCCAGACAACTTTTCTCAAAGGTTTGGGTGGAGTTCATATTTCAGTTGGAAGTTTCTTATAGCCTGTCAACCGATAACTTTGACTTTGGCTGTTTTCCCCCTGCCTTATTTTGTGGAGATACAGTCATGTTCAGATTCTAAACTTGGTGCTGAACTATATTCAGGTCTGGATGATAATTTCAGACCAAAGCTGTTTCAAAGCTGTAATGTGTAACAGGCCAGGTGTTGTGCTGTTCAGGATGGTGTGTTTGGTTCATGATGGAAAGGTGCAGCGTGTGTCTTTCAGTGAGCTGGAGCAGTTTGGTACCTGGTGGTGTGTAACGGGGGTTCAGCACTGCAGGCAGGCAGAAGCGCAGGGCGTGGTCAGCCTGCACAGAGAGCTCAGTGACGTAGATGAAGGTGACAGCAGCACTCTGGCCTGGAGGCAGACTCCCCACACTCAGCCTGAACACATCCTCACTCTCGTCACTCTCCTCCAGCAGAAAGGCCTGATCTCCTGAAGCAATCGCATCATCATACTCCTCCCGCGCCTGAAGTACAGACAAAACACTTCAGTCTGGAGCTCTATAGGTTAATTTTCCTTTCCAGAGCAGTGGCTCAGCCAACACTCATTTATTTCCTATTCATTACAAGTCTCTATGAACCATTTCAGTACTCAGCAACCAGTGAAACAAGGTGTAAATCGTAGTAATGTAGTGAAAAGCCCTGACAGAAGACATGCTTAGATTTAAGGTTTTAAAAGGTGCTGGTCTGGAGACACTGTTCCTGTTTCTTACCTTCTCTCTCTCCTGCACCTTCGCCACTATCTCCTTGTCTGCAATCTTGGCACTGAAGTGGCAGACAGCAGCTTCTGCAGGCATGGGGAACACAAATACGGCCTCCAGGGGGCGCTCTTCTTCATTTACATACCGCAGAGTGGAGCTCACTGTAGCTACATAACCCTTAACCTGCAGATCCACCACTATGCTCTTCAGAGGAACTGAAAAAGAAACAAAAAGGACCGATTTGGTCAGCTGACTTGGTTAGTTATCATAATCAGAAACTTAATTATTCCACAAAAATTACTGAACAGAAGAAGTGTCAGAACTTACACCTGCACCTGCTGTAGTCACTCAGGGGGACTACAGCAAGATGAGAAATTAATTTGACTTTTTTTTTTAAATTAACATACATGCAGCACATCTAGGCGTACAGAAATACATTTGGCTAACACAGCATTCTGTAAACCTGATTTTATGTGGGGTATATGTACATTACGTCCCTACACTGTGCAGCCACGGAGATGGACGTTCAGTCAGCTGATAGGGTGAATTTTGTGTGACAAATTTAAGTTGATGAAATGGTGAGCTCAAGCAGCGGAGAGCAGGACAGATGTTGAAAATATTACTCGGGAGAAAAAAGAAAAGGAACAGAGATTAAATTAATGCTGAGCTAAGATGTTCCTTCGATAAATTCATATAAAAAAACATTGAAGATGAGAAAGACGACCCTGTTGAAGCTGGTGTAGCCAAAGGAGGTGCTAATGACGAGGTTTATATTTTCCCTAAAAATAATGAAAACAGATAATGCTCTAATGAACTGTATAGCAGACCTACAACTAACCCACACAACAACAACATCAATTCCTTTTTAACTGGGAGTGTGGCACTCTCCAAGAGCCACTTTGCATGGCCACACCTCCTAAGTTTCCATTCAGCGCAGGGCCCTTGGCGTACACCACAATATGCTCCTGACTGATAAGGATGACTTTTAAATGTGATGCCATTTCTCATTTAAAAAGGCCTTTTTAGCCAAAGAAGGTTTCGTGATCAGGGTTGGGTGGTAACGGCATTATGTAATCAGGACACAAAAACTTAGCTGTATTCCATTACAGTTACAACAAAAAAGACACTAATCAGATGGCAGGTACATTATAAAAACAGAGTGACTAACAGCAGGACTCAAACCACATACACATAAACTTGTCACCTTTTATCAAATCCCTCTGTTTAAATGATATGTCACAGATTACGTAGCCTTGAAGAGTCTGCTGCCAGGAGAGGTTTCTGAATAATAAAAATAGTGCCTTTTTACACTCGTAGCACACGTCGTTTCTACGAACTGCTGACACTGCTGAGAGCTGATTAGGGAGCATCTACAAATTATGATGATCAAAGTCCGAGCACAACCCACCAACAGGAAACCTTAAGAGCCAGTACAGTGTTTTAGCAGATAGAACATACATAATGGCCAGTTAGTTTTTAAAATAACCTCTATTTCTGATTATTGTTGATGAGCGATCTCAAAGTAAGATTTACACCTGAGTGATCTTTTGACTTTGATATGGTAAAGACACATTTTTTAACAAATAAGGCAAATAAGGAAAAGTCCCAGGAGAGCAGTGCAGTTTTAACTATTTTGCATTTGCATGGTAAATGAACTGGGTCACTATACAGCGATTACGTGTTTCCCTGAGTTTTAGTCCCTTTTTTTTATTTTCCTGTTAAAATCACTCAGTTCTCTTCCTCCCTTGATTTCTGAAATGATCACTCTTTTCACTGCGAGTATACCTGTCTAAACTCAACCAGATTTTACTGTACAAATCTGTCACCTTTATGTTCAAAATATTTTGACAAATATTGCTCCACCTAGATTTGGTCATTTTGCTAAATGTGAGATCAGTGACCATTTCTGTGAGGCACGATATTTAATTCACCTATATAATCATTTTGCTTTATAAAACAGTGTTCAGGTTTGGCTTGTGTTAGACTAAATTCTTGTTGGAAAAGTCTTGTTGAAATTATGTTTTGTCTTTTCTTTATTTAATTATATGCTTTTAATTAAGGACAAGTAGTCCAAAAGTTATGGAAAGTAATTAGATTACGTTACTTTAATACAGTAATCCCTTGGATTAGGTTACAATTACATTTTTAACAGGTAATCAGTAATCGGTAAGGGAATACATTTTAAAGTAACCCTCCCAGCCTTGTTCGTATACTTACCTGGTTCATTTGTAACGGCCAATAAGCCGCAGTTCGCCATCTTGTTCAGCTTGCTGCAACACCAAACACAGTTTATCAGAGCGCAGTTAACTTTCAGTGAACGAGAATCAGACTGTTTAGTGAACTATGAACACAAAACCAGCCCTTACTGTCAGTCAGTGACCTCGATAACAGAACAAGTGCAGTGAAAGTGAAAGTGAATCTACCTTTAGCTGCAGTGGAGCTAAATTAAAGCTGGGTTAAGACTAATTCAGCGTCGTAGCTCTAATCCATCCCAGCACAGCGATTCGGCAGCGCATTTACTGAGACGAGCTCCAACGCGAACTGTAGACTCAGGTAGTGCTGCGAAACCCCGCCCCCTCTAATTAATACACAGCGCATTCCGGAGAGACTGTTTTGTGGGGATGTGTGGTTCATGAGCGAGTCGGCTCTTTGAGCCGGTGTGCTGCCTCGTAGAAATGTCCTACTGTTGCGCATTGCATTGCGTTTATTTGGAGAGATCCAGCACTTTGTTGCTGTTTGCTACAGGCGGGTCGAGACGGTGGGAATGGATCAGGATGAAGAGGAACGGACGTTGTTTTAGGTAAACTGAACTTGCAGACACGTGAAACATTCGTGGCCATAGCTTAAGCTTTATACTAATTTCCATTGTTTCAGTCTGATATGCAGAGTTGGATTGATTTAATAAATTAAATTGTACCAAAATTTAACTACATACTTTACTAAATTATCCTTTTTACTTGCTAATATTGTTTTTTGTAAGCTTTATTTAAATGATTCAGTTTAACTCAAGAACATCTTAATCAAAACAGAGAAGCATTGAAATTTCATAGAACATTTTATATACAGTACAGTTTTAGTGATCACTGTAAGAAGGAAAAAAGTAAATACCTCTACCAGTTAAAAGTCAGATACCAGGGAAAACACTTTTTTCCTCTCATGTCCTCTAATGTAAAATCCTCAGCTCTTTTAATTTACATTCAGTCTTTGTAGGTACTGCATATTGCTCTTTTCTATGTTCATGCTTTTTGCTGGACCAGCGATCAGGTTGGTCTAAAATAATCAAGGTCAAGACAAGTTCCTGATCCTGACTGCTGAAACATGCTTCTATACATGTAGGCTGTGTCTGAAACCGAAGGCTGCTGCCTTGATGCCTTGCTGCCTTCACTTAGAAGTGATTTGATTTGAAGGTGCGAGCACCTTCCTCCTTTTTTCCACCTTAACTCCATCTGACTGCAGCTGATCTGACATACAGAATTTTGGTAAATGTAAGGTAGTGAAGGACACATCAATTACAAAATCATGCAGATGGAGGTAGCGTTTCATGCAACAGTCAAGGATCTGTTCCTGTTAGTATGGTCATAGTAAATGAGAGAAGGATCTGATCCTAGATCAGCACTCCTATGATGATTGTTAAGACTTAAAGTGTTGATGTCAAGAACAGAAAGAACAGAGATCTCACAAATTTTAATCTGTTATAAGACTTTAAGCATATAAAATCGCATGGCAACTAGTTACCAAAGCACAGCACAATTCAACTTTGTTTTAGCTGTAACTGCAGCAGCAGTCACTTGACGTCCCTCCCTGGGATTCGCTAGCCTAGCACTGCAGATAACAGCTAACTAACTTCACTGTTACGAAGTGAGGTTAATTTTCGTTTTGACATTTAAAGTTCAACATAAGATAAATTATATGATTAGCTTAAAGTAAATGTCAGAATAAAAAACTATTGGTACGTTTAAACAAACCAACATCACCAAGCAGCCACTGGTTTTTGAGTTTTTCTTAGTTTCTAGTATCTGCTCTAAGTGCGCGATTCCTGCCTCTGCAGTGTAGCGTTGGTGATGGCTTGGACCTCAATACGGGTGGAATCTGCCTCAGTATGGCCTCAGTAAGGCTGTGTGTCTAATTCAGGATTGTAGGTCAAATTGCTCTCTACAGTGATTCAGCAGCTCATTGTCTGAGATGTAGTAATAAGTGTTCTACATCTTACTCAGTTCATGTTTCTTAAACCATGTTTCTCCAAGTACCCATCTGTATATCAGCATAAAGTACACATGTTTAGGCCTGCTTAAGTCAGTGACTGAGCAGTTGTTATATTGGTGTCCTGCTACAATGGTATTTCTGATCATGAGTAGTGAAATAACATTTAACTCTATTACATGCACAAGCCCTCCAGATTCCTCCTACAGTCCAAAGACATGCAGTCAGGCCAATGGGACATGCTAAATTGCCCCTAGGTGTGAATGTGTGTATAAATGTATATATGTCTGTCTGTGTGTCTGCCCTGCAATGGACTAGCGACCTGTCCAGGGTGTTGCCGTCCTTCTGCCCAATTACCGCTGGGATAGGCTCCCACAACCCAGAAGGATAAGCGACTTAGAAAATGTGTGTGTGTGTGTGTGTGTGTGTGTGTATGTGTGTGTGTGTTTGTGTGTGTATGTGTACATGCACAAGCTATAGATGAGAGTTTATCATGATCACACATTATACAATCAACTAGCTAGACTGTGTATAGCCTATTTATTTAAGTAGTATTTTGTTTAAAAACAAAATATGCAGTAGTTTATTTATATGCAGTAGTACATAATTTTATTTTCACAGGCTTAGTTATGAACATGACTTCCAAAAGTAGCTCCAACAGTAACATAAACATTAGTCGTAAACGTAAATGTTTAATTTATTATTTGACAAACTAGCCTTCTACAAATATAAAAGGGTAACAAAACTCTGACAGCTGTTTAGGAACAGTACTTAATAAAATGCTGATATTATACTAAATGAATTTTTTTGGCAATATAATGACAAAGAACACAAACGATTGTGTTTTAAGTATTGAAAGTAAAAGTACTAAAAGATTAATTATGACTTTAATGTCCTGTTATTATTTTTATAACAAGACTCTTGCTTAATCAGCTCATTTTAGGAGAAAATACTCTAGTGTCACTCTTGGTACACCAATCTTTTAATAGAATGTCTTTAATTAGTCTGACACTGATGTCTATTAAAATTATCATAAGAACAAAACACTGAAGGCAAACAATTTCCATTCGGTAGAATTAAGTGGCTATGAAATAACTTTTTTGCAAACAAGCAAAGTTTCAGTTTAACATTTATTTGCAACTTCATTACAAGTGTAAGTTTAATAAAAACTTGCTTTAAACACAGGTTCACAAATGAGTTTTATTGGAGAATAAAAGCCATAGACGAAATGCGGGTGTTGGCTGCTATTTGAGACTGAGCCGCAGTCTCCGTGTGGTTTAGACATGAGCGCCCTCTGGTGACACTACAGCGACACACCTACACGAAAACATCTGTGCTTACCTAATGTGCAGACTGATGTGAGACATGCATGAATGTTCAGTTCTGTGCAGAAATATCAGTGTAGATATGGACAAAATATAGGTATGGACAAAATATGACAGATTTCACACACAATGTTCCAGTGTGGAAACACTGCGTGTGGAGATGATGTATGACCATTTCAGTCACATATCATCTCCATGCCATCATCTTCTTTCTAAGCTTTTCAGAAATTGCTATTTTTTTAGTATTTTCCAGATTGTAAAGGGCACATATTTCTTGTATTTATCCTGAGATGCACTTATGACATTTGTGTGGGTTTATGTTCTAAAAAATAACCTTAACCTTTATCCAACATTTTTTTATCTTACAATCCAACAGACTACTATTTGTTACTGTAGCTTTAAAACAAATATAGGTAAATTGTCTCTGTCCTGATTGACTGTCCTGGATTGCACCTCATTCAAAAAGCAGTCCAGGCTGAAACTGCTTGTAATTTCAGTGTAAAGGATGGGAGCTGCACGTGTTGCTTCCCATGACATCACCAAAAAATAAATAAATAAAAATAAATAAATAAAATTCAAAACGGGCTGTATTTGCAGCTTCCTTTCCACATATGGACTGCATGGACTGGAAAGTGAATGGTACAATTTGAAACCTTATCAGTTTTTACACACTGCACCAACCTCCTTAATTAAAATAAAAGTGATGAAAATTCAGTTTTCCATGATACTTTTTCCATGGACTCTTTATATCTTGGCCAAACTCAAGATACTCCCTATAGACAGATAAAAGCACACTGTGGATGGACAGTACAGACTCTGACCAGACAGTAGAGCGCCTCTACTCTCAGCCAGTCATGGAGGCTCTCTGGATCACTAGTGTGAATGAACTGACAGCCATGTGACAAAAGGGATTTAAAGTTAAGGGTTCTACTAAATACACTTGATATTGATTTGCATTATTATGGTCTTAATGACACTTGGCCTTGTGGACTGTTTTCATTGTTAGAAACAATGCACACAAATACACAAGCAAAATGTGGGTCTCAGCTTTCAGAAATATTTAATTTAATCACCATATTTGCATGCATTCATATTATAGGATCAGTACACTTCCATGATAAGACAACAAATAATTAAAATGGTCATGAAGAGGGAGACAAAACAAAAGGACAGTGTGAATAAGAGTAAGAAATAATCAAGTAAGCTATTTCATACTTTAGTGCACACCAGGCTTTGGGCTACAGAGATGATAAAAGTGAAAAAACGAGAGGGAAAACTGATTTCTTTCTGTTTTCATTACCTGAATAATGAAATACCAAAGATTACAAAGAGAAAAAAGGTTTCATAAATGAGGTTTATGTTCATTATACAAACACACAAATCCAGTGTGATTATAATTAATGAAGAGTAAGGCATAAAAAGAAAGAAAGAGTGAGTGATGTAATGAATATTGATTACTACAGAACTAATACAATAAAATCACACTGCATTCCTCCCAGAGCATTAAAAAGCAGTTCAGTGAATACAACAAGTCATTAGAAATATAATATTATTTACAGTGCATAGTGTGGAGCTGCCCAATGCATTTTCCAGTAAGAGTCACTGGACAATGCAGGCTGCTGCTACTTAAAGCAGGAGAAACAACAACAATAATCTCCACTTCTCTCACATTTCATTTCATCCACTTCATTTACACTCTCTCTTTATTCCTTGGTTCAGCTGAAAATGAGTAGGATTCATTTGAGGCATTTTCAATATGTTGGTCTAGTACAGAACAACAGATTTAAACCTAAACTCATCACAGATTCATAGTTTGATTTCACTGTGGTCATTCAATAAACATAAAATCAGAAAAACATAACCATCAAATTTATTGCATGCTTCTCCTTCCACAGTCTCTTATGGCTTATTTTATTGCTTATCAATATTGCATACATATCTTGAACCTGTATTAATCATGTTATTTTACATTAATGTGGATAGTATACATGTAAAAAGAATACAAACCTGACAGTAAAGTACTATGATCTAGATAAAAATTGTGCTGCATTGCAGAAACGTTTCTATGTGTACTACATAAATGATTTTCCCCTGGAAAACACAGGACTAATGAAACATGAAAAGTTGTGAACCATATTTTTTTAAAAAAAGCAAAAGAAATACAGGGAAGATGTGATTACGGTAGGTATTCATAATTCATAAACCTGTAAAAATATAATAAAGACAATCTATATACATTTAGATGGAGAAAAATAATCTGTTAGGACATGCAGTATCAATTAAATGCCATTCTGATCAATAGTTGCACAGGCGACATGTTTCTTTAAACAAAGAAATAATTGTCATTAAAGCATTTTTAATATGGCGTTATAATCCAGTGTTTCTGAGACTGTCAGTGTAAGACTTTGAGTGTGACTACCAGTTCTTCCAGTGTATTCCTGCAGTGAGTTCCAGTTTCATAAATCCAGTGATTTTTCATTAAGGTCCAGTGGTTGTTTTTTTTTTGAGATGCTATAATACTATGGCTTCAGTGGCTCAGACCTACCTTAATAATATTAATAACAACAAAAACAACACAAAAGGCTTTTAATGTCTCCTTTACATTGCATCATTTGATGACTGTTTCCAGTTGGAAGTTCAATTAGGTGTCTTTACACTGATGCATAAGTGGGAAGAAGACTCTTCACTACCAAATGTGTGAGTCTGACAGTGTCCCAGCACAGACAGAACCACCCCACCCAGTCATTCGTGCACTTATTGGGCATAGAAAAGCATTTAAAAGCATGCTTGCGTGTATTGATGAGGAGGAGGAATCGCCTTCCGAAGACAGCGATAAATCATGTTCAGAAACAACAGCTGAAGTGACCCCATAACAGCTTCATTAAAATGTCTCTTCAACATTGTACTGTATTTTTTTTAAGCAGTACGTAATACAGTACTATGCAGAGCATTTGAGACCACCTTCATTTCTTTAATTTCCAGGCAAAATGACCATTAACTACAAGTTATTATTTTCAGTAGAATTTCTGAGATATAAGATATAATCTACTTGCATAAGGAAGTCAATGGAGCAGACAAACACAAAATATATAGGCAAAACAACCTAATAACCATGCAAAACTTGGCAGACCACCAAAACTGTCACCATCAGATAAACCAGAGGTGTCCACTTTTATCTGCCAAAGGGACAGTGTGGCTACAGGTTATTAAAGCAGGAGCTCACATTAAAAATCCACAGCTGTTTCTGTCTATCCTTCCACTGGGAGAGGACAACTCAACACTATGAGTCTAAAAGGATGTGTAGCTGTCAAGAAGCTGTTACTGAGAGAAGGAAACAGACAAAAAAGAACATTTGCAAATAAAACAAAGAAAGATCTCAGAACAGTGGACTGACCACCCCAGAGTCCAGACTTCCACATCACTGAATGTATTAAGGGATTACTTGGATAGTAAGAAAATGCAACCAACTTCTAAGACTGGACTTTGGAGTTGTGGAGAACTATCCCTGCAGATTTCTTTTAAAAACTCAATGCAAGTCTTCTGAAAAAAAACAAAAAAAACAAACAAGCTATAATAAAGGTAAAGGGTGGATGCACTAAATGCATAAATACTTGACACTGTATTTAGTTGTTGAGGCTTCTGTGCAATTTTCTAATAAATACATGTTTCTTGTTTTTCTCCTGATGCTGAAAATGATGTGTGGTCTCTGACTTTTGCACAGTACCGTATTACCTGATATTTTTACTTATTTTATTCAGTGAAACTGTCTTATTTCCATTAAAGTACTATATATCATGGGTAACCTGCAGATGGTCTGTGTAGGCAATAGTGTCACTAGTCACAGTCAGTTTAGCTCATTTACAGTAAATAATAAAAAAGTAGAGTCAGTAGATACTTGCAAGAGCAGAGCAGAGAAATGCAGTCCCTAAGTGCCTAATACACTCTCTCTCTCTCTCACACACACACACACACACACACACACACACACACACACCTACCTATAGTACCTATAGTGGCTTTAGAGAACAGATGAAAAACAAAGGATATGGAAAGACTGTGCATGTGCGTTTGGAGGGACTGGGTGGGTGAGTCAATTTTTTCATGGGGTCTGATACCTCCTACAGGTAAAAAGCTGTGTTCAGTCACTGAAAATCTGATCACATTCTCCTATTATCTCTCTCTCACACACACACTGAAGACAATAAGCTATAAAGGTTATTCACCATTCTGACAAAGTCCAGTCTGACAAAATTGCAAACAACCTTAGGCACGCTGTAAAGGGGTGAACATTAAAAAGGTTCAAAAGGTGTGTAGGAGAATGAGAATGTGTTCATTTGGTGTTTTAGACACTTCTGCTCAAGTACACCTGCTTTGAACGAAGAAAAAGTAATCAGAAAACTGCCTGGTGTCCTGCTTCTCCTGTTCATCAGAGCAGCCCACCTCACCCTGTGGAAGGGGAAAGATGGATAAGCTGAACAGTTTATAGAAGTGCACACAGTGTCAGGTTAAAAAAGATTACTTTTTAACTCACAGAAAGTGACACCCGGAAATGGTAGGTGACTTCTTGGAATGATGTCACTGGAACTGACCACATGTGAGTGGTCCCCTGGAAAGAAGAACAGCACAAAAGCATTTTAATGGGAGAAATCCTCCAGCAGACACTATGCTTATATAACACATGTAGATCAATAATGTGCTACCTTTGATAAGGCACTCTTCTCCTCAGAGAATTCAGTCTCTGTGTGGTTTACACATGAACGCCCCCTAGTGACTCTACACCGCCACACCCATACGACCTCGGAGGACCTAAAAGAACAGAAAACATCTGTTAGTGAGATGGCTGTAGTGAAGGCAACACACTGCACACTTCATATGTGCACTTACCTCATGTACAGAGTGATGTGGGACATGGATGAATTTTCACTTCTCTGCAAAAATATTGTGTAGCTATGGACAAAGAAAATACGAAGAGAGACTGCAAATAATGCTTTCTTAATAATGCGAGCAGGCATACAAGACAGACACTGCAAATATTAATTAGAAAGACAGAGTACTTGATTGTCAGAGAAAAGACTGATAAAACCGATGCAGACTTTCTCTCTGCAGAAAGACACACATACCTGCAACTGTCTGATGAAGCACAGTTTAATGTCTTCAATTCCTGATTAGTCTCGAGAATGTAAAGTTCATTTAGAGATGGCTGGAAATTTCCACCTGAATGTGGAAAAAACAGCTTTAGACCACTATAAACACTAGAGGGAAACCTCATACAAGGCATTTCTGTGTGTTTAAACATCAGAAAGGTCAGATCAGGGTTCGGACATTGTTTTCCAAATATGGGTCAGGCTCGGTTTAGGTTCAAATGTCAAGTTTGGGTTTTCAAGGCCCGCCTTCCACTTTTAAGAGATTTTACCTTGCATTTGCCCCTGCTATATTCTTCCTCCCCATTTTCACTTTCTTAAAACATGTATTATTCTGGCACGCTGGAGTTCTTACATGAGGGGTTCACAAGGCTCATGCTCGTGAGAAAATGTACATGCAGGTAATAAACATTGAAAGCATTCAAGGAAGCACAGATTAGTGCGGCCAAAAGGACATTTTAATCTTTTTGCCAAAAGTAATTTTTATGCTGTATGGTCAAAGAAGTGGAGTTTTAGGATTAAATAGGTGTAGGCTAACCTTTTGCTATATCAGCACTATAAAAGCATGAAAACACTGCTTTAAGGAAAGCCTATCCATTAAAGGGCTGTATTCAGGTTTGGATCAAAATTTCGGGCCCACTGTAAGCTCTACTTTACAGTTGGCTTTATGTGTACATATCACTGCTGTCGGAACAAAACCTCTTATCTCCAAAATGATTACAGGACAAGGAAAAAACCTCCTTTACATGTAAGTCAGTGGAACCAGACTTTTTTTCTGAGTCATTTTGTGCCATTCCTTTTGGTCCAGTCATGAAATTTACACACAATGTAAAGGGCAAAGGTTTTTTTCAAATTATGTCAAAAACTAAACAAAAATGGAGATAAGAGCTTTGTTCCGACGACAGCGATATACATGTATGTGTATAGCTAACCATAAAACAAAGAGTTTACCCTCTGTATTTGTGCTGCGTTGCCTTCGAGGCAGAGGTTGCTGACCCCCAGGCAGGCGGTTGCTGGCACCTCCGGTGTCCATGTCAGGGGGCTGAGGGGGTTTCTTGGCCTTGTTAAGAAAGAGAGGGGCAGATGTGTGACTGAGCCTGTTCCTGCTCCTGCTGTCTTTATCCAGAACCCGAGACTTTGCCTTCTTGATTATAGTAGTAATGGTGGGACCGGGACTACTTTCTGAGAGAAAGAGAGTAAGAGACAGAGAAAAACTGAGTATTTAATCTTCCACTCTAAGAATCAATTACATTTGCTACACTTTAAGAAAGCCCTTTTCTGTCAGAGCTAATTATATAGGCACTATGTAATCAAAGAAGACTGAGGGGTGAAAACATGAATGTGTTTCCTCACTACACAAGCAGCCCAGTATAAGCTGGAGAACAAACACAAGACACAGACGTGTTGAGTACAGCACTGCACTTCCACTGAGAGCAGTGCTCAGCTGTAGGCTCTACATCAAGCACTCTCATTCATGCATTCAATCACATTGAAATATATAGATTAAACGCTCTATTTATATAAATAGTGGGGGATTTGAAATGGATAATCAGAATTCAGACCTTCTTTTGTTTACTAATTTACAAAGTATGACTTGCTTACAGTACCTGATGTGGATTGGTTGGTGCTTGGCAACAAGCTGACAGTAGCCGACTGGTTGGTTGTGGCAGTTGTTGGAGGGCAGCAAGCTGGATGATTAGGCAAAGTTGGAGAGGTGGTGTCTGTTTTTATGAGAAACAATTAGAGAGTTTGAGAAATGTTTTCCATTATCTCGCAAACTCAGGGCTTAAACATTTAACTTTATTTTACATACAGACATACAAACGGGTGACAAATTCAAGGGAAAAAACGGAATAAATGAGTGGAGAAACATGAGTGCTCATGCCTCCAGTCAGGTGTTCTGAGTGATGCAATTAAGCAGTCAACATGTTCTGTGGCATGTATAAACATGCAGGCCTAGTTGACCTCAACCTTGGATCAAAATGGCATTGATTTTAAAAAAGAGGGTTTATTATTGGGGCACGGATAGCAAGAGCTTCAGTCACAAAGACTACTCAACTGGCTTGTGTTTCATTAGGAACAGTGTCTAAAGTGACAACTGCGGAAAAGTCATCAGTAAATAGGGTTGTAAATTGTGGTTAAACATGCACATTTAGTGACTTTGATGCTCCTACATTAGTGTGATATCCCTCCAGTACAGTTCCAATCTTTATCAAAGTGCACTAAGGCTGCACTGGTGGTTTGTGGTAGCCCAACAAAGACTTTATGTTGGTTTTTACCTTAATTTCTAACCTGTCTGTACTTGCATTACAAGGGAAATGACGTGATTATATTAGTATGTATTGTATTCATTTGATGTTTTGGCACCTGGAGAGAGTGTAGTGATAGGATATCTGGGAGAAGAATAAACAGCCTTACGAGATGAACCCAGTGCTGAGCGAGACCTGAGAGAGAGAGAGAGTGAGAGAGACCTGGATCAGACGTCTAAATGGGTTGCAAAGATTGCCCAAACACTGCCACTGCTATGAAAATGCACTAAATTACATCTTCTGAGAATATATTTGAGCTATGCCAAGCCAAATATTTATGATGTGTGGAATATGTGGATTTTAATCTCTAATCAAAAATAGTTTCTAATCAAAAATGAATTAAGCCTAAATAGTCTTAATTACAACTACTTGAACCTGACTGGAACTGTTCAGAGAAACTTGCTTTAGTTTCTAAACTTGCCTACATCACCTTCACTAATCAACCTACCTTGTTGTGGTAGCATTTCTAAAAAAACATTTTGGAAGACATTAACCCAAGATTACCCACCACTGTACAGAAAATGGAAAAAGGATTGAAGACAGAAAAACAGGAGGGAAAAACACAGAGCATACCATGAACACATGGATGGACAGAAAGTGACAGTGGCAGTGAGGAAAGGCATCCAGGAGATGTAGAGAACACAGGAGGAGAAAGAGCTACAAATAAACCACAAAGAGAAAGACTAAAAGAATGAGAAAGAACAAAAAACTAATTAACACACCAATTCACTCAAGACTAGAAAAGAAAAAACTCATCTTTTCCTTAAAGAAAATTTAGGTTGAGAAGAATATGCAAATTAAGTATGTGTGTGTCTTAGAGCAAAACCACAACCAAGACCAAGTTTCAAGGACAAGACTCTTTCACATATTGACACAATAATGCTTCAGGTCAACACTCTTACACTCTTATGTTTTGCACAGAACAGAGGTCAGTTCCCATGGTGACCTCACACAGTGTGGTTTAACAAACCATGTAAGTCATGCACAGATTTTGGCAAAATGAGTACAGGATACATATCTAACGTGAAACCTAATTAACTGTGTAAATGCCCTGTATCTTTCTTACTGAATACTGAATGGCATTATATCAAGTAATTCTCTATAATGCTGCATTCACATTACAGTAAGGCCATTTATACAGACACAAGCGGCAGTAAGAGTCACAGATATCTGTTATAGCTATGTACTATTCTTAGATAAATATATGGGGCATAACACAAACTGTATTACATTACCATGTGTTTTAGGACTTTCTGTAACATCTATTAAATACACTCTGCTGGTTCGCCAGCAAAGCAAAGTGCTGAAAAACCTACTGGTTACTAGAGGACTTAACTGATAACAGAGTATCGATGAGTTGTTATTAATTTACTGAACGCTACAGTTTAACACTGAAATCTAGACAATGATCACATATTTGGTTTTATGGTCTTGACCATGAGATTAAACTGGAGTTCTAATGTATACATACCCATCAACCTCAGCTATGTTTCCATGCTGATGCATGTTTAGCACATAGAGTATGGACATTGAGATGACACTAGGGAAAGAGAAAGAGGAAATAACACTTAGGACAGAAGACATTCCGTTTCTAATATGCTGAACATATTATTATTTGACAGCTCAGAGCGGTTTCTCCTCTCTCACCTGAAGGCCATGATGATGACCAGGGCTAGAATAGTGCCCTGCAGGAACTTGTGACTCAAGCAACCCTGCTCTGGAACCACACTCTGCAAACACATTCCAAACAGCTTTCAACCTCTCTCCTGAACTGTTTCATTAAATGTCTTGTCTTCCTTGACCAGGTGCCAGTTGCAGCCTGCTTGACAATTTCTGAGCATCTTTGTTTATTTAAAGTGGAATTACAGATGATAGATCCCTGTGCTAAAGAATCTCACAGACCAGACTTGATCAGAAATAGCTGTGTAGACTTAACATTTTATTCATTTTTGACCTTGGACCATTTCTAGTGGCATGTCTAGGTTTTCAAATAAAATTAGATGTTTATATAATTGATCTTATAAAAATTAAGAAACTGGTTTGCCTTAGAATGTTCACTGAAATTCCAATAAAAAAAATAATAAAAAACAAAATAATGGGCTACCGAGTGGCGCAACCGTCTAAGTGTTGGCCCTATCATCAGGAGATCGCGAGTTCGATCCCTGGTGATGCTACAGCCATCCGTAGCCGGGAGTCCGAGAGAGCACAATTGGCCTCGCTCTCTCTGGGTGGGTAGGATGGCCCCTCCTTCTCCCCCCATCACTCAACGCGATGCTAGTCAGCGCAGGCGTCTGTTAGCTGACGTAACAGATCTGGCGGTTAGCCTTCACCCTCCTAGGGTTGATAGCACTGTGTGACTGGGGGAGTCCTAACTAGCGGGTGGAATTGGAAACGACTAAATTGGGGAGATAATTGGGTAAAAATCCCCCCCCCCAAAAAAAATAATAATAATAATTTAACAGAATGTAAAACACAGATTATTGTTCTGTTAACTTAGTATTCAAAGTACAATAAACTCAAAATTGTAAGGCAACCAGGTCGCTTACTTTTTTACCTTAAGACACTGAAAATTTTTTGCAGTGTTTTGAACTGTGACTGTTTCTTTTTAAATGAACTACTGAAAGAACAATTAGGTTGTGCACTTGACATAGATGTGTGTGGGTTTTAGAGAGTTATGTAGAAGTAATGAGTACTGGGATTACTTTTCTAGAAAAGTAATTAGTAATTCTTAATGGGTTGCTTTATTTGAATAACTACCCCAACACTGTCAAACCATGGGAAAAGAATTACTCTGACAGTGAAAATGCTGTGACAAAAGCATCATTTGCTACCTTTGAATACCACTATTTCCTTCTAGAAATATAATGATTGCTTTAATCCTAACAAATTCATCCCATTCCACTACATTTCATCCCTTCTCATGCATTACCCATTTTAACCCTCAGGGTAACTAAAACATTGTCACCTTTTGCAGTAAAGAAGACATACAGTAGTACAGTAGGGTGCATACCTTACTTCCTGATTTGACAGATTTCTTCTTAAGTGGACCACTACCTGTTCTGCTAAACTGACTTCCTGACTGGCTGAAATGACAAAAGAACAACATATCTGTTTACAATGCTTGTTTGTCATGCTAGACAAACACACCAGCAGTGGCATTCACATGAGGCCTGTTAATCAGGAACCAGGTTTACAACAAAAAACCCTAAGGTGTTTACTACTTGCTGCTTCATATAGCAAAATAATGAATGGTAACCGTTGTAGTTACTGCAATCATAGACCAAGAATTTAATGTAACTTAGCTAAGTTCTGTACTTTTTTCACATTTCTGGTCCCCCATTTTACATTTGTTTATGCAACTGATGAATATTGATGAAAACAGATGATGGGAAAGTGTCTGAATTAATTTACTGATTCATGCTTTCTCCAGCTATTTAGTAAATAAAATAGTTCACCCCTATATAGCACAATACTCATGAGCGAGTAATGTGTTATCAAGTGAGAGAGAATCAAAGAATCACACACATATGATTTTTTTTATTTGCTTTTACCGCAAACCAAAAGAGATAAATGGTCTGATAAGTGAATGTCTGAATGGTCTTCGGTAAGATAGTGTAATTTGCATATGTGCTTGCACTCACACACCTGACTGTGCCCCCGCTGACTGTGCTTTTCATGCTGTCAAGGCGTCGTAGTTTAGCAAGTTTGCGGCTCCAGCGTTCAAGCTCATCGATACGAGTCTCCAGATTATCAGTCAGTTTACACAGTTCTTTCACGGCTCCCACATTTTCCATAAAGATACGCTCCTAACAAACGCATCCACAGACAAAAGCACACATTCTTAATTCTGTGTGAAGGTAAGTAATGTCTGCACATCAAATAGATTTTAGGTGTTTGCTTGTGTGATACAAGTGTTCTTTTTGAACACTTTATGATGTGCTGTCTTGATGCTGTTTGTGAATTCAATTTGACAATAAAGCAGCTCACATTACTCTATACACAGCATATTATGAAAGCATTTCTAAATTTAAACGTGTGCATGGGTGTCAATACACATACCTTGTTGACTACCAGTAAATTAGGGATGGTCTCTCCATTGGCACACACTACGTCGCCCCCCTCCTTCACAGCTTCTGGAAGAATCTTCTGAACCTCTTGAGCTATCACTCCTGATATAAACACAAACAAACACACACATAAGGCGAGTACAAATCCACAGCTGTGTCAGCAGCGCAAAAGGCTACACACACAGTATTGAGCAAAAGTCCAAAAGAGACCAAATTTAATTTATTTAATTTCCTCTATATATATATATACACAAATCTAGTTGTTTCTAAAATAAATATTAAGTTGTTTCTTCCTGACTCTAAAAATTGAATAACTTATGCAAAACCTTTATGCCATTTTTGCCATTATGTATGAGTTATTCATTTCTCAGAGTCAGGAAGAAAGGAAAAAAAATAGAACATTACCCAGAAACTTCAACAACTAAACATATATGTTTTTAGAGTTTAGTGTTTCCACGCTTTGTCTTTATCACAGCTTCTATTCTTTTCAAAAGCCTTTTGTTTTTTATAGAAAGCTGCAGGGATATTTTTCCTCCTTTTAAGTTCAGTCTTAGAAGTCAGTTGCATTTTCTGCTCCTCACAATCCAAATAATCCCAAACACATTCAGTGATGTTGGGGTCTGGACTCTGGGGTGGCCAGTCCATCGTTCTTGAGAACACCAGCAGTTTCTTTGCTTGATTTGCAACTTTTCCTCCTTTTTTGTCTATTTCCTATGTCTATTTATATCAGTAATGGCTTCTTGACAGCTATACATCCTTTCAAGCTCATAATGTGGATTTTTTTAGATCTTAAGCAAGAGTGGAGCTTGATTTTCTCTCAACAAAAAGACAAAAGATTTAAATACTGTTTGGAATCTGATGCTGACATAAAGGATTATCTCATATAATCTCCTCAGAAATATCTCATTTAGCCATTTTAGGTAGTTAAGGTGAGTTTGAATATTTGCTTGTGTGAATGTTAATGTCTCTTTGAAGAAGAATATAAAGCTTTTTTGGAAGCACACAGCTGTGACTCTGATTTTAAGACAGAAGGATGGAAGAATTAAAGTGGCAGTAGGTGTCCAAAAGTAAATAGTGGACAAATTAAATAAACTGAATAAACAAAAGAGCTGTCTCAGATTTTTGCAGTGCACTGTAAGTCAAGTATTAAAAAAGGACATTTCAAGGTGATAAAAAAGACATTCATGTTCACACACACATACAAACGTATACGGTCATATATAGTGTGGAGGTGGTTACCGGTCTCTGCGGTGTTATCAATGCCCACAGTAGCAGCAAACTCAGGCTTGTACTGGTAATGCACCAATCGCATTTGAGAAATTCGCTTCAGGTTATCTGTGGTGTCCACCTACAGAGAGATATTTTTTAATGATCTGGTGATAGTAAATTATATAAAGTAAATTATAGTCGGGTCTGAGAAGGTTAACAATCCCTCACAGATCACACGCACACATACACACACACACCTCTTTCACATTCTCTTTGGCACGGATGTCCGAAGGATGTACAAGAGAGCCCATGACTTTGAGGTTGCCGTGGACCACCAGTGCCTCATCAGGTCGGTCAGTGTTGATGCCAACTCGGCCGTGGTGGTAGACCGAGTCCGGAAGCTGACCCCTCTGCCACAACACCTCGCTATCGCTCTCAAACTGACCTGGGTTAGATGCCTAGGACAGGAGGAGAAAAAGAGGGAGAGGGAGAGAGAAACGAGAGAGCATAATAAACTAAATGTTTTGATACTATTATTAATAAGTCACTAGTAAATATTACAGCAGCACTATTACAGTACAATATATATATAGTCCAGTTCAAAAGTCTTAAGCATCTGAGAAAATGATTTGTAAAGCTATTTATCTGGTCAGTAAACATTTATTTGTTAAAATAAACTAAAATAAACATATAAACAAACCTCTCCTTGAGGAATTACAGTTACCATGTGCTAGGCCACATTTTATGTTGTTTTTTTTTCAGCAAATAAACATTAACTGTGCATTACAATGTGCAAAAGTGAGTTGTCTGCAGATGATACGTTACTTATTTTTATTTAAATCTCAACAAAACTGAAAAACATCTAATTTGACCAGGGGCGCCCAAATATTTGCATATAACTGTATAGTGTTTATACTGGCAACTTACTGCTGAGATGCTTCTAAACAATTTTCATGGGTGCTGAAGACTTTTGGGCAGTGTATATATTAAACTTAAGCTACACATTAGCATTCCATGATGTAATGTTTGGGAAAGTATGTATATATAAGTAATTCATCATTGAAAGTTCTTAAAAAGTTTCTTAAAAGTTGTTAAAAAGTTCTTAAAAATGTACATGAGAAACAACACAAATGAAAACAAGAGGGTGACAAAGGAGGATGACTCCTTTAGACAGAATGACACACAGACAAACAGAGACAGGCAGTGATTGGAGCACGACCAGACTGACAGCGGTTACCCTGACGATGATCCTCTCAGACACCTGCGCCGCCACCGTGTAACTCTGACTGTGGGACTGAGCCTGGAGAGCCACCACCAGCATGAAGTACCTACACACATACACATTTTCTCATAGTTTAATCATAGCTGGCTGTTAGTGTGAAAGGCCTCTCCTCCAGTGTGGGAGAAAAAGTTTTCAGCTTAACAGTTTGATAAATTTGTATTTGAATAGCCCTGCTGAAGCAGGGAAACTGTAAACTGAACTGTACAGTGCTGTACTTCTCCATGTTTGTGAGTTTCAATGAGCTTTAAGTAATGTCTATATACTTGTGTTTGCAATTGTGTATGTGATTCTTACCTCTGGTCAGGGTTTGGCTTGCCCTTCTTCCTCATATTATTGGCTGTGGTCTCACTGAAGTGAAGTCGACCCACTGTTACCTTAGTCACCTGTTCTGGTGGCAGAGTCACCCTACAATCAACACAAACCCTTAAATCAATCCATAGAATCAGTAAACATAGTGTGTCTATGACACTCTTTTTTTCATGTGTCATTAAAGGAAGTATTCAAGTACACTATGTTTTCAATTAAAAAAACACTTTGTGGCAGGTAGCAATGATTCTGATACTAGTATTTCAACTAATTTGTATGAGGCTGTAAAACAGATAAAACGTTTGATGTATTCAGAATAAGCACAGAGCTGTAGATTATCATAATGACTAAGAAAACTGTATAACATTAAGAACAAAATTATAAAAAATGTAACATTCTGAAAGCCTCATATTTGGAGGGTGATCAAATCTCAGATCAGAACACTGCAAGATCAAGTAAATTATTTGTCATGTAATAACTGGCGGCCCCAAAAAACTTGAAATGTGAATAAAACACCACGATCTTAAAATATGGTGTCTAGCTTTTAGTATTTTAATCTATACTTTAAGTTATTATTGAATGTGACAACAATTTTAAATATGACAAGTTTTTCTAAACATCTGGTTCACTAACACTAACATAAATTTGGTAAATTTCCCTCTGTATCATAATAAATGAGTAATAGAAAACTCACAGCACAGGTTTAAATGGTCTCTTGCTGCGGTCAGACTGTGACTGCTCCACATTAATGGTCTGGTTCATTGCTTCCAACTGTGTGGTCAGAACATTTAATCAACATATTTTTTTCAAGTCACAATGGAGCAGAATTTTGCAAAAATAGATATTATAGTAACACATTTGACACATAAATCAATGTACTTGACCAGCTTTAAATTCACTTATTGGCCTTTTACAGTAACTCTCCTTCATTCCTCACCTTGACTCCATTGAGTTTCAGGTAGAAGCATTCTATTGGTTGCAGTCCTTCATTGGTCTTAATGTATTTTGGATCTCCAAGCATGCCGATGTATACAGTGACCTGGAAGTGGTTCTTCTTCTGACACACGAATGCATCATCAGCCAAAGAGAAATTAAAACCCTTGTCCGCATCTACCCTGTATGTAGGCATTGGACTGAAGGGAGGGAAAAAGAGAGAGAGAGAGAAAAGAGAGAGAGAAAGAAAGAGTTTTTACCCTTCTTATCTTCTTGCAGTGCATTTTACAGATAATGTATTTTATTCATTTTATTTTGCTTTTATGTAGAATGTTGATACATACAAACCCTTAAAATTCTCTCTCCATCAATTTCTCCTTGTGTCCTTCCCCTCCTCTCTTTTTCACCCTCTTTCTCTCTCTCTCTCCCCTCCTCCTCTTCCCCTTTCTCTAGTCGAAACTAGTCTTACTCTCACTCCTACGCACAGCTCACCTCTTTGGAATTCTCAGACCCCTCCATCCTCTCTTCACACTCTCTCTCTCTCTCTCTACCCACTTCGGTTTTGCCTGATACCTCCCTACACCCCATTAAATCCATCCATCTAATATAAACCCATTACGCACATATGCGCTTTCTTCTTTCTTTCTTCCTATCTCTCCATTTCAACATGCAATAATATATCTAATTCCAAAAGCATGTACAAGGTCACAGTGCATTTCACAATTTGTAAGGCAGAGATATCACCCACAGTTCTTTGCCACTGGCGTCGCATAGTGGAGTCCATTTGTTCTGTTGGTGTGGCTGCCATTTTATGCACTGATAGTTTGGGTCCAAGTATGAGTTTTCAGCATCCTGCATCAAACCTGCAAAATACAAATGTATGACAAAATAATTTGAAATGTATAAATTTTAACCACTTTGTAGACCTTGTTCATGTACGTTTGTGTATTAATGTATGTACCTGGTTCTTGTTTAATGATGCCGCTGAGTATCTGAGCATTGAGAGTGCTGTTAGGAGAATCTGAGTGCTTCCTCTTCTTTGCTTGGTGAACAGGAATACCACTGCAGACACATAAAATATAAACATATGCATGCACACATAAAGGAGAAAATGAAATCAATTTGTTCATAATTATTAATTAATGTGTTATTTTCTCTATTACTCCACATTTTCTCTCTCTGTTGCTTTCTTTCCCTCTTACTCTTGTCCTTGTGGATGCTGTAATAGCTGATGTAGCATCTGACTCTGTTGCATGTCTCCACCTCCACTGCTGGCTGGACCAATCGGGTACTGTGAAATCATGGGCTCTGGTTTCAGGTACATGTCCCGGTGCATGCTGGGATAGTGGCCATGAGGGGGCAGGGGTGGTGGGCTGGTCATATGACACATGTTCTCAGGCGTCATGGCCCTGAGCATGTGTGGGTCTGAAATAGAAACAGAGACATACACTGTATATTCTGACAATCTGCACTTTTCACATCAATTATCAAATATGCACATACTGTAATATTATACTTATGATTTATAATCATATAACATAATTTATTTTCCAAATCCAAACTTCAAGTTCATATCAAATTTGATTTATTTACAGTTAAGACATCTATTAATCTTGAGTTTCCCCAGGCTTGGCTAATGCTATGTTCCATTATTAAACGGCTGGATTTCTGCCAATCAGATTAGACTATTCCACACCTTTCTCCTTGATGGGAAAGACCAACACAGGTGTGCAGGGAGCAGCACAAATGTGTTTGACTTGGTGGGATATAACAGTTATATTACACAACTGAATAATACAACAAACCAAACCCTTTTAATATTTGGTGGAAATGGTCCTAAAAGTCACTAAATAGACACCAAATTTTCCTGACTTGTCTGTTTTCATGTTATCTGTACCTAAGTTCATTTAAAATGTGGAAATGCATTTCACATCTCTGTGTTTTAGACCATTCCTGTTTATGTTTGTGTATGCTCCATCTACCTTTCCATCTACCACTTTCTGGCATCACTTTCTTCTCCTGTAGTTTCTGTCACTTGCCTTTCCCAGGCTGCATACTTACATATTTTCATATTCACAATCTGTATCTCAGTCCTGCTGTTTCTCTTTCTCCTTCAAATTATCTGTATGTTTGAACTATCAGTGTCAATGACCTATCTGCCACTTAATGAGCATATACCTCTCTCTCCCACTCCCATGTTCTTTTTCTGCCTCTCTTTTCCTCTACATACATGTATACTATACAGACAAGATGAATATCTGCTATTTTGTTGTAATCAGTGCACATTCCTGGCTTATTCAGTCAACTGCCTTATATCTTTTTGTCGTCTTTCTTTGTCAGTGTTATTATAACATCTATGAGCATCCACACAGTATAATACCACTGGGCTCCCTAAGAGGTAATACTCTATGTAAAATCTTTGCATTTCTTTGGAACTTACCATTCACTTGCTGGGGGGAGTAGGGCTCTGAGCTAGAGTCTGGTGGAGACTCAGGCAAAGTTCTGTAAATAAAAAGAAGTTGTAAGGTACACAGTATTAGTAATTTCAGGGGAATCTAACCATAAAGTGCATTTTGCAGAGTAATAATATGGAAAACCTAATTATGGATCTCTCTGTACAATCATACCTGCTGTTCCCATTTTTTCCATGTTAAAAATCCATTTAATGATTGAAAAAGCACACTCTATCATTCAAGCCATAATTCATAAGAGGTTATCAGTACATATCCATTTGTCTTATTCTCAACTGATTGCTCATGGCTCACTCCCTCCGCTCCCTGACTAAGATTTGTCTGAGCTGTATTTGTTGAAGTTTAGTTCAGGTCATTTTGAAAACTGGGTTGGGCCATTTCATGGAGGCATGGCCAGTAGCGTCAGTAACTAGGAGGTGTGGCCACGACAAACAAAATACCACAGACCTACTTCCTTATGCAATGTAGGAAGTAACCAGGGCTCCCTTTATTTTTTCTTATTTGTTGTTATACATATTGTTTTATCATTAGATTATTAATTTTAATTACTATTATTAATTATTATCACTATTATTAATTACTACTATTAATTCGGTAACATCTATGAAAATAATGTCATATATCGTCACAAACCGTGTATCTCCAAAAAGGCAACTTTAAAGGGGGAGGAAAAAAGATAGATGAGAGATGATTTATTACAAGTTATTTTGAAGCATTGTGACAGCTCTATTCATCATGAAATTCTGGCACAATCGTAAGGGCAGTTAGCAATGTCAAATTATGTCAAAATATGAAAAAACAACAAAAATGGAGATACAAGGTTTTGTCCTGACAGCAATCATATACTATAAAATACAGTATTGTACAAAGGTCAGAGAGCACTCCTCACTTACTTAATTTCCAGTAAAACAGACATTAAGTACAATCTATTCACTTTTCAGTGTCAATAAAAAAATAAGAGAAAAATAGTTTAGTGTTTAATAGTCTTAAAAGCTGGCTGCATTTTCTGCTTCTCACGATCCAAGTAACACCAAACACTTCAATGATATTGAGGTCTGGACTCTGGGCTGGCCAATCCATGGTTCTGAGAACGCCAGCAGCAAATTTTCTTCTTTTTCTGTCTGTTTCCTTTTCTCCATAATGGCTTCTTGGCAGCTACATGTCCTTTTAGACTCATAGGTGTGGATTTTTTTCAGATAAGGTTTCAGTGGAAAATGACATAAACTCGTAGAAAGGTGATCACCAAGCAGCAAGAGGGGTAAGAGAAGAGGAAGGTGCTCTGGGACACCAGGTGATACTGCTGAGCTCTCTGGAGTGGGCCCATCAATGAAACACCAAAGAAGGAGGGTGCCCACATGATGACCCCAATGAAATGATTACCCCCAGCTCAAGAACCCTCATTTAAGTTAAACAGCTTGGGGGTGGGCAGGGGGTTGTAACAGCAAGTCCTATCAACTCAACAAATAATTTTTGTACTCCGGTTTTGAAAACTCATGCTTATTTTCTTTTGACTTTACCCTTCCTTATGCATGTGGATTATGTTATATTTAATCCTCTCAGAAATATCTTCTGAAAAGTGAATAGTTTATACTAATAGCCATCTTGACTGGAAATAAATGAACAATGGACAATGACTTTTGTGCAGTACAGTACATATTTTAAGGTATGTAGTTATGAGAGCGAGGAACTAAAGTATAACCATACACAGAGTCTTTGAGTTCAAGGGGTTCAATCTAAATTCACAGTGTATTAAAATCTATTTTTGGCCATTATTGTGTAATTTATCATAAGTTGGAAATAATTCTGGCCTCAAAGCCTCAAAGCCTTAAATTTCTCAGCCTCTCTGTCCTTTCTTTCACTTATCTGCCTTTGAGTCATACTTCTCATTCCCCTTATCAACCTCTGTTCAAATCCCACACTTTTGCTGTCTTATCTCCTCCCCTGCTCTTTCTCTTTCTTTCTTTCTCACTCTCTCTCTCTTTCTCTTACCCGGGTGCGTAATGAACGCAGTGTTCTGGTTTGATGTGTTGCTGTGGGACCTGTTGGTGGTGCTGATGCGACTGGCTCTGCTGTTGCCCCAGGCAGGGGTGGTTGTGTCTGAGGAGTCCGAGTGGGGGTGGAGGGGGATAGGGGTTCTGGCAAGGTGGGGGCAGAGACTGGGCAGTGCCTTGGCGCTGGGCAATGGGGGGGCTAATACCACACACTACCCCCCCAGATGAGGATGCTCCGGCCTGGGGGGAGGAGTAGTTGGGCCCTGGGTTGCTGTGGACCTCTGAAAAACAGCTGCAGGAGAAATAATTTTATAAATGCCTACATAATCATTATACAAGCAAACCGACTGCCAAAACATACGGCATGACGTGGTGTCAAAGTAAACACACAAAGTGCTAACAGAAGAATGAGAGTATACTCAGACATTAGATCATATCAGCATCTAATGTTATGTGTGTTTATACAGCATAGCTGGATTAATCTGTCATGGTTCCTGTTCAAAGAACATTCCAGCATTTTCGGCTTAATCTCTGTGTGCTGCATCTGTAGTGTATGGTCGAATATCACAGGCATTAAATTATCTCACTAAGAAAAGAACAGAGCACCTGTTGGCTTGCAACATATTTACAATACAAGGCTGAAAATGCTTCAGTACTTCATCAACAGTTTATTGTTTGTATGTACAGTATGTGCACGTGAGAGCTGCTAGAGCTCAAGTCTCTCACATATCTGTGCTGTCGTCCTCTTTGCTGATGTACTCCTCCAGGATACTGGTGTCAATGTTTGCTGCCTCCAAAGAGCTGTTGATATCATGACCTGGAGAAGAAAGACAAGAAGAGAAGAGGAGGGAGCAAAGTAAAGATCTTTCATTGAGTTTAAGTTTCTGTAACTGGTGTCACATATAATAATCAAGATTCTTCTTGGCTTCAATTTAACAAGCTCTTCCTGGTACATATAATCTCATTAAACAGGTTATTTCTGTCTAAATTCAGTCGAAAACAAGATGGCTAGAATATGGAATGTGCTGAAAAGTCAGATTTTGAAGATAACATGGTGAATGCCAGTTACTACTACTGCAGAGCAACTGGACAAAACAAACGAATCCACTTAGAACTCTTCACCATACTCTCTTATATCTTGTATTGTTGATTATTCACAAAAATGAGTTCGTTTGAACCACATAGTATAAATGACTTTCCTGGATTAAGTGATATCTAATTGTTTACAAAATTATTTACAGTTAGGCCTATATTATGTCTGGAACAACATTTTATTGACAGAGGAGGTGAAGATACACTTTTTTCAAGGTATTGAAAAAGTGTGTAAAACATTAAAGGGACTGTAAATTATCCTATGCACATGAGGCAGTATGTCTGCCTCTGGAGTTGACTCACTGACAGGGGTGTAACAATATACTGTGACATTATGAAATTGCAACACAACAATGTGCCAATGCATCATGAAGAACAGGCATTCTATTAACTATGCTATCAAATGCAATGACATTATTTGGACACCAAAGATCTCAAACAACCAGCACCTATCAACAGCTCACTCCAGCACAGTCATATCATCCCACATTCCTCTGCTCCCTGGCTCTGGTCTCATTAGTAGACTGTGCAACAACAACTTGGTTACTGTCAAATTATGTTCAAAATACTGTGAGAATATTCAATAGTGAACCCAATATCATGAATCATATGGAGTTGTGGGCAGAGAGTACTATAAGACCCCTACTCACTGGACTTGAACTGAACTGACGATGGTAACAGCAAAATTAATTGTAAAGTGTACAAAAGCATCATGTCCTCTAAGGTCCAAAACAGACCTCCAAACGCACAGAGGTTTATAATGCAGCAAGAAGACACTCCAAAACCTCCAATAAACCTATAACTTCATCAGAAACGCAGTGGAATGGAAGTTTTAAACTTCCTAAACCAGCCTCATGACTTAAATCCCATTGAGCATGTGCTTCACATGGTGGGACAAAGACTTGAGCTAGTTATTGCATTTGAGTAACTAACTTTACACAACTTTATTCTGCTTTGTATTTATTTGCCACTAAATTTAAAGCAGTACTGTGTACGTTTTGGGGATTTGAAGACCACTCTGGTGGAAGTGTGGAAATATGTGCAGAAGAACATTTTGTAACAGAGGCTGTGCCTCAGACTTCTTCTCTGAGCAAATGAATCAGATGACTGCGAACGTGTTAAAAGAGTAATCAAAGAGAACTCAGTCAAAACTTGATTAAGAAAATGTAAGTGGGTGTAAGTGAATCAACTATTGTCATTGTATCTTCAGTATAATGCTGGTTTTGCCATTTGAGGTGATCTTGTGTTTCTGACATTACCATGAATGTATGACTGGAAAACTCCTGTGAAATCTGACCTGACTCCTCTTAAGTTCAAATGATTATTTCAGGCTTGACAGGGTGACTCGTAGCAGTGCCTGCACACCATATTTTAGTGTGATTTTCCCTTCTGACTCAGTAATGCTACTTCTTTCAGACATGGCTGATTTTTTCAAAGAGGGCTGATTCATGTGTGTAGGATATGAGTAAATAGTGATGTCAGTTTGAGAAAGGGGGATTGGTTTTTCAGCTAACTGATTAGTCATATTCAGTCCAGCCTCTCCAGGTTTAAACCTTAATTTCATTCAGTGTATTCCTAACTCACTATGCTATGTTTAATCATTATCATACCATCAACTTGTTAATGGCAAACCTCATCACCTGCTGTGTAAAGAAAACCTCTCGCTCTCTCTCTCTCTCTACTTCCCCCTGACCGCCTTTACACCAAATCTCCCCAAATCCTCAACGCATGACCATTTTCTATAATCACACAATTTCACCACACACTATGTCAGTGGCGCACAAATCAATCACCTACACAAAGCAAATACACAGGAAACATCCCCTATCCACCTCACTAATGCATATTTACATAAAATTTGGTGAACAAAGTAAGCCAAGTAAGCCAAGAACAGAAATACAAGGCAAGAACAAGGTAGAGAGGGAAAGCATAGTAGTGGAGTGATGGAGGAAGGGAGGAGGTAGGCAGAAGGTCAGGGGGATTCGGGGGAGGTGGAGTGGTTGGGCAGGCATCCCCTAAAACCCAGCGCTCTCTTCTTTGATAGATTAAGCTGCTACCCAGCCGAGTATGCAAAGAATTCCAGTGTTAGTGTTGGGAAAAACCTCTTTCCATGTGCTTTTCTCTCTCTTTCTCTGCCCTTTGATTGGTCCCTCTCATCCTCATTCTTAAATGAAGCTTCATAATCTCGCAGTAAGTCTGGCCTGGGTCGAGTCCCGAACCTGCATCTTCTCTCCCAACATCAGTGTATCAGAAATTTTCTTTATTCTCATTTTTCAGTTTTGAGGTTCAAACGGTGTATATAACTGAATTGTATAATAATATAAAATATGTGTCGCCTTCTTAGAGAAACCACTGCTACTTCATTCTAAATCTATGCCGTAAATATCTCCATTACTTGCCTTGGATAAACAAATAAAACCTCACACTATGAATCAAAGCCCAAAACTGGCTGCCATGAAGTCACAACTTCGTCATCATAACAGAAAAGGCTTATCTCTATGAGTTCCCACAAAGAAATCAGTGATGAGTACATCGGTAGAGAACACACTTGCAGGAAAACACAGCACTAAGTTTATGCCAAGAGGCAGAGAGGGCAGCAGAGGGATGACTGCTCTTTAATAAGACCCAGATGTTCACCCCACCCATCAGAACCAGTAAATCTGCACTGCCAGCACTGATAACGGCCGAGAGTGAGTGAGGGGGGTGGAGGTAGTGTTGGTGGGGCAGTCCAAAGAGGAGGGTGAGGTGAAAGAGATGTTCTAGAATGAAGAAAAAGAATGAAAGGTGATTAGGCCATGAGAAGAACAGGAAGCAAAGGGGCAGAAAACATGAAAACAGCATGGTAATGTGTAATGAAATAAATTACAGTTAAGTGTCGTAGCTATCCTGTGGTAGCTAACTTTCTTAGTGAAAATATTCTAAATGAACACTGAAAAGCCATATATATTGAATCTATAAGCAATGAAAGTTTTTTACAGTTTTATTTTTAGTTTTTATACATTTATAGATAAAATAAATGTTTAATAATTAGTATTAAATGCAATAAAGAATTCTACCATCATGCAGTGTAGTCTGTAACACTACCAGGCATGTCCAACTGGGTCCCTTCTGAAGCGCAGATCTGCAGAAATTAGCTTTTTCCCATCTAAACCTCCAAATTCAATTCATGATGCTCTTGCTCATTAGCTAATGAGATTGATGAGGTGTGTGTAATGAGCCAGACCACTGAATCTGCAAAGCTTTGGCCCGCAAGGACTGGAGTCTGACACATGCACACTAGGCTATGGCTATGAAGCAACATAAGAGTCAAAGACTGTTCCATCAACACTATGATAGTATTTAATACAGAAGTTAAATGTAGTTAGTTTAGAGTCAGCTATTGATTGTACCCAAGAAAACAATATATAAGATCTGTTTATGGCTTTCAGTAGCCATGATTAATCATCATCATCTTAAACCGCTTAATCCAGCTAGGGTCGATGTAGCACTTGGGAGAGCAGAGAACCCCAGACAACCCTGTCTCCCACAAAGCCTCCAGCTAATTCTGGGGGACGCTGAGCCGCTCCCAGGCCAACTTTTAATATTTTAATATTTTAGTTTACTAATGTAATAACTTTATATATAATCCTAATACATGCCAGCCACACAATATGGTACTGCGTGATGCTGATTTATTTGCTTTATAAGTATCTATTGTTTGATTACAGCTACTTTGATGCTAATTTCCACTATCACCTACTGTTAGTACCAAGCTAACGGTGGTGTACATTCATTTTAACACATTGGGTTTTATTACTACTTATGGTAGCTCTAGCTGAAACAGAGGAGTGTAAGACTTTCAAGTAAATTATTCTTTACTTTTTATGATGTACATTTGATGTATAACGAGTATTTTACAATGGCTTTGAATGTGGCTTAGCTTATCAGAGTTTGGAACCTGAACTACCTTTACAAAGTAGTTTACAACAACTTTAAACTGGCTCAGTCAATCAAATGTATAAAAATTATATAAACATGATATAAACAACTAAGCATAGAGCATGAAGGTGCTCCTAATAACAACATACATTTTTTATCAGTTCCTATTATTAATTTTTTTCTTACTTTTTCTAATTGACATTGAAATTGCAGATTTCGCATAAACATAGACACACATAACCCTAAAGACTTTGATAAAATCTGATAAATTATCCATTCACAACTTGGCTCAGGTAATCTCTGCACTTAAGACTACGCATGTACAGGTCTGGTGTCTAAATCAGCTGTTTAATTAGTGTTTGAGTTAGTGAGCCTGCGTTTGGCTGAAGGGGGCTGTGTCCAGCTGTGGTGCTGACCAGACAGAGGCTTAATTGTCAATGCAGGCCTCATGCAGCACATTCACACACACACTGCTCTTTTCTCTACTGGAGGGGTTGATTGGGGGTGGGGGGATCAGGACAGCACCTCAATGCTGGAGTTGTCTGGTGGATAACAACGCAAGATAAACAGAAACAGAGCTGGTGTGTGTGTGTGTGTATGTGTGTATGTGTGAGAGAGAAATGGCGAAAACTCCCATTAATCACAGCTCATTTCAAAACTCATTAATGAACAGCCTTTATATATTATATAAAGTATATTTATAAGTAAGGGTGGGTGCTATGGCAAAAATATAACATCTTGACATTTTTGACACAGTATGTATCACAAAGTTCAGTTCTTCTGAGGTTTGAGAACAAGTTGGAACAG